GTGCTGGTGTTTGATTTTTGGTTTGTTCAAAAAAATCCCTGTTCAAACTCAGAGTTTATAAAGTAAAGGGTGACACACATTATTAAGTATTTGTATTGCTGGCGAAAAGAGTCGGGCGTTAGCTACTTTGTGTCACATTAAACTCACTTCCTGGTGGCGTGGTCCGCTCTCGGACTCAAGACACTTTATCTAACGTCTTGGACTCGCCTTGGACTCGTTGGTATTTGCACTTGGACTTGGCCATTGGTCTCGCCAAATATTCTACAGCTGGTCTCCACCGAGTCCAAATATATATACACACACACATATATATATTTTCAGAGGTAACTTCAAAACAAAACCACTGATGAAGCGCGCTTGTTCTGAAAACAGGTATTGATTTAATTCATTCAAAAATCCTGACATTGGTAGCCTGGTAACCATGGTTACCGGGTTACTTAACCGTGGTTACCAGGCTGCCAATGTCAATGTCACTCGCACTCATACGCCTGCAACTCACTGCAATGGCAAAAGCATTATATTTTAATTTCAGTCTTTCTCATCTGGACTCTGGACTCGACCCGGTTCTGGTCTCGGGGGCAGAACTACGTTAACTCCACCGACTGAACACACGTGACTGCGTGTCATCAGATGCATTCAGGTTATGTTAAACATTCTCTCGCCATTAAAGAAGCCTCCACTGCGACAAAAAAAAAAAAGATGTTCTCCCAAAAAAGTAAGTAGTAAGCAAAAGGTCGGGTGTTATAAATCTCCAGGTGGCAAACGGAGAATGAGCCACTTGTGTTATTATTGTGTCACCGTTGAGCCGCCAGGGAGAGAAAACGCAAAAAAGGGAATCGGTCACCAGGAGGCGACCAAGTCTACATCTCACATTTGAAGTATTGCAAATGTTTAAATTAATATTTCTCACAGAGTAGATTCAACTCAAGCATCAGTAGAAAGCTCCACTAACTACCACTCACACACATACTGCATGTATTCAACTAGCATGTCTCTCTCCTGCAGCCCTACTCGGGCCGCGAGTGAGGACAGATCACAATTCAATGCCCACCCCAGCATGCATCTCTTCATCTAGTGGGTATAGGGTTCCTTCCATCTTACTTTCACACATTTCACCTCACTGTAGAAAAAAAAAAACTCTTACTGACATAATTTCAGACAGGCTGGTCAAAAAAAATCTGTCTCTATAAATTTCTGATCTATTTGTGTAAGCAAAAGACAGACAACGGTGGAAAGAAATGTGAAATCCTAGTGGACACCTTGAAATGGAAGAACACATACACATTTGGTATATAAGACAGGAGAAGTAAAATGGGCTGACCATTCATCCTGGTTCACAGAACAGGGGAGCTAAAACAAACCATTTTCCTCTACGGACCGCGATACGTATTGTTTGTTGAGTCTGTGTTTAAGTCGGCATACGTATTTGGGATATGACACCTGAAAAACAGAGGCCCTGAGCATCCAAGATGACATATGGAAAGAACGGTTGGGTGGGTAATAAGGACTGGCAGCCTGTTATTCCCGACCAGCCAACCCCTCGCACTGCATTTGTAAAATTAAACGAGTGAACCTGAATCTGCTGAAGTCCAAATAATCCACTCACTTGCAGAGTAAACTCAGAGTCAAAGCAGGCTGATTGGCCAGCCGAGTCCACTTTGCAACATCAGTGGAGAAACAGGGAGAACCAAAAAGGAAGAGGAAGGACAGACATCAGTGGAAATAGGCTCGATAACATGCGTAAGCACTGAGAGCCAGTGCCGTGCCCAGGCACACGTTGGTTAGAAGAGGGGACCAAGTCCCCGGCACAGGAGAGCTTTCCTTTGGCTGCTCCACTGCTTCGGGCAGCTCCTCTTCCTCGGCCTCGTGCTGCTGCTGGGATTTGGTTGGAGCTCTGGAGGTATGGTCTTCGATTTCCACGTAGCCATCGAGCTGATCGGCATCATCAGGAGGAGGCTCGGGGGCAGCAATGTTCCTCTTTCTCAGCTCCGACTCTTGTGAGGACCTGAATGAGGAAAGAGTACGGCTTTAATGTCCCTGAAGGACAATGTGGTTCAGGTTGGTTTTATTAGATGGATTCAACAGATGGTCCTGGAGCCTCTGGCACCAACAAGTTCAAATGTAGCCTACTTATGTTTCCTCAATTAAACTTTCAAAAACATTATTTGTTTACCCCAGACTGCGGATCTCCATCGGTTGGATAATCTCATCATTTTCAGGGAAAAAGGACGGCTCAACTTTGCCGTTGTGTGGGTCTCTGGGAGGAGGAAGAGGAGGAGGAGGGGAGAACTCTGGAGGATCGTCTTCCTCGTTTGAGAGCTCTTTCCATGACTCCTTGAGGAGAAACAACAATATCCCTTTATATTAAATAAAAACAAACAAATTTTGTATCTTAAGAACAAAGAGCAGGATAGAGAGGAAGGACTTGCCTGCAGGGACGTATCCCCCTTGATGTACTTGGCACCTTCAATGACAGCAAGGTAGGAGAAGCGAAGTTGATCTGCTGTCTGAATCAAGCCCATTCGATAGCGTCGCATCTCCAGCAGCACATCACGAATCCGCACCGAAGACGGGTCTTTACGCATGGACATCTACACATAACAGCAAAAACATTCAGTACGTCAGAGGTTTGAGTTTGAAGGGTTTGATTGAGCTTTAGAATATAAATCGCTGAAGAGACGTTGAGTACTGCACACAAGTCCGACCGCTCTTTATTACTGCGACAGGTTGTCACAATGATCAGAGGATTTAGTGTTTTTCTGCTGTAACGTTGGTTCTTTGTATGAGCTCATTTCCTGTACAGTGTTGTGGGGAATGGTAATGTCATAATTTCTCAATAGCAGAGTACAAACCAATAAGAGGCAGGTGTCCACAAGACAAAATGTCCCCGAGCGCCCGATGCCGGCACTGCAGTGCACCACCACCGGTCCCTGGTCCGAATTCAGACAACCAGACTCTCGCACCTTGAACAGGAAGTTAAGGAAGGAGGCGGGAGACTCTGGTACCCCAAAGTCCGGCCAGGTGGTGTAGTGAAAATGTAAAATCTCACGAGTCTCTCCAGTCTGGAAAGGAAGATCAGAGAGAAAACAAACATGGAAGAAGGATTAAAAGACCAAAGAAGAGACCATGGCTCTTCCCCACTAAGTCCTAATCTGAAACCATACTTTTAAAAACACACAGAAAAAACAAACAACTCTAATAAAATACTTACAGACAGATTCTCCAACTCCAGCTGACGGACTGTATAGTAAGATTTGATGTCTTCTGAGACAAGAGTAAGCTTGAAACTGGTATCTTCAAAGATAGCATCTTTCTCCTCTCTGTGTGGCCAATATTGGGCACATTTAACCTACAAACCAAACAGAGGTGCACATTACAGATAACAGACGGAGAAATGCATAACAAACAACACATATTGACACTGTCACACATTGAAGTGTAACTCCACCCTTCAATTCTTCATGCTCCCTCCCTCACAATGTAGAAAATGTATCAGAGACCTGCAAAGGACAGTGACTTTACGGGGCATGGCCTCGACACCGATCGGCGTGATTGACAGGCTGACCACAGTGGCACAGCAGAAACAGCGAGCTGTTAGTCAGAGTTAATGAGCAGCCGCCATCAGACTCTGTCCAAGCTGGAAACAGAGAGTCCGCTCACTCGAGGCACTTTGACAGCTATTTGTAAAAGCTGCTCAATTTTAACACCAGCTTTAATGTGTTTCATCACAGAACCGTGATATAAGTCAGTTTACAGCTCAAAAAACACATTCTAGGGTGGAGTACCTCTTTGAAATTACACTGTATTTTGTCCACTGTCCACCTCAGGCTAATAAATCTAGCATGAAACACAGTTTTTTCTGGAGCTGATGATGGAAGTAGCTAAGGAGTGAGCCCTCTCAGTGCATCCTGGAAACAATTAAGCTGTTATTTGATAAGCTCTATTAAATATATCAACCAGTAATAAAAAACAAAACAATTAGTATAGAAGCAAGTAGAAAACATCATTTGTTGAACCGTGCTGTGTGCTTACAGATCCTTTCTCTATGACTCGGTTCAGCATCACGACACCGCGGGTCCTCTGCTCCCACACCATCTCCCAGAAGTGGCCACATGTATTTGGAAGGGGTCCCTGAAAGAGAAAGAAGTGTTAGCAGAGCGGATTTTATTCTCAGTAGAACTAAATAATACCAGTGCATCTATTTAAACATGTATTGAATGTACTGAATCTTCAGTCTGCAGCCAACACACATCAAATTATCAACTTTTAAAAGTCCTATTTTTGTTTGATTTACTCACTAAAACCTCTCAGCTTCTTACTCTCAAGCTGCAAAAATCCAGATGAGAGACGAGAATAGCTTATAAAAATGTTGATATCTGAGTCACTCACAGCCACAAGCTTTACAAGCAGCAGCAAGCGAGTTGTGACTTTTTCTTGCCCTGGGTTTCCCCCCCTCTCAGACTACATTAAGGTTACTGTGAGACAGTAAAGCACAAGGGGTCTACAACAATGCAACATTAGGTGCAACACTTAAAACCTACATACAGAAAACACTCTTCTCTGTATGTGTATATGTTTATATTCATAGTTTTGTACTTACTTTTGGAAAAACCTCATTGTGAAGTCTTCCCATGTCACAGCACAGGTAGTACCCCCCACTTCCTTGTTAATGACACAATTATAAATATTGTCCAACGTCACACAAACAACAGGTACGAATTCTGTATAAGGGAGGACTGTCACTGTCCGACTGCAGAGGACTGATCTCAGTGTTAGCGTCTTATTTACTTAATTCACTACTTAAAAACTACTTTAATCTGCTCACCTTGTACTCTTTTTCCACACACACGCACACGCACACACACACACACACACACACACACACACACATACACACTTCTGTTTCTCTAGCACTGTTTGTGTCTCTGTTGACTTTCTTCAGAAGTATGTTTTATGTTTTTTTTTAAGCCGCATTTGGGATTTTTTTTCCACCCACGATTCCCTTTTTATATCAGCAGGTGGAGGCTCGTTAAAGATGTAGCTTATCAAAACTATAGAAACCATAATGTACCAAATAAATAACACCAACTAGGACCGATACCACTTTTTTCACACCAAATACAAGTACTTATATGTGAGTATTTCCTGATACCGAGCACTGATATGAGTACTTAATAAAAACCATTACAGTGTTAAGAAAGAAAGCATGTTTCATTTTCATCAGATGTTTCTCACTTTCTGATTTTAATTAAATAAAATGTTGCCATTGTTGTAAAAGTTGCTTAAAATATCTCCAAATGTGAAAGTGGTATCGGGTGTAGCCGATAAACAAAACACGTCTTCAGACACATCTGCAGGCAGCCTTGTGGAACAATGTCAGCGCTCCCCCTCGTACCATAACTCTCATACACCCGACTGTAAACATATGACTAGATTTCCTGTAGAATAGTAATTATAAGTGACTTTTCTTTGTTTTGATAACAGTAACAAATTGAGTTATCAGTTGACCACTAATTGGGTGCAGTATACGAGTACATGAGCACATTACTGGACCAGACACCGGTATCAGTGCATCCCTAGCACCATGTGTTTACTGCTGTTCACTCTTGCTTCTGTGCTTGTAAAATATACTGTGTCCGCATCAGAGAGTCTCTCTCTCTCTCTCTCGCTGTGTTTCTGTGTGTGACTATCAGTGCACCGTGCAGGAAGAGCAGAGTGAGAGGTGGGGGGGGGGGGGGGGCAGTGTCCACTAGTTAATCGATCGCGGATACTTGTACAGGGTGTGAAAGTACACACTGTTAAACAGAAGTGTAAAATGTTTTCGGTTCATTATGAAACTGAATTTGGGAAACGCTGAGTGTTGTGAATCTTCTTACCTGAGTGAGAATATAGTTCCTCTGTGCCTCTTCTACTGTTATCAGGCTGGCATTGATGTAGTCATTCGTACCCAGCTGCAGACATATTCTGCTGTGGTCAACTGAGGGGAACAAAGAAAGATAATATGCTGACGTGTCTCACAACCCTCAAGGGGCTATAAATGCAATTGTCAGACCGACACAGCTGCTGAGAACATACGAGAAACTGTGGATATATGGGTTATATCGAGTGTTTCTTGATTTCCATAGAAGGAACATTTGAGTTAAAAAGTTAACACGTTCCAGGTTACTGTTTCACATATTTATCAAAAGGGAGTACGACACACACACTGGATGATATACAGTAACCCTCTGCAAGCTGGTCTGCAACAATTTGCATAAGTCATTCAGTGTGAAACAGAGGAAACCACATACAGTTCAGCTGCTGGAATTGTGACGTTACGGAAAATAATTTTACTGAATAATAATTAATTTCCAAAACTAAACAGTTCGTCTGACATGAGCAGACAACGACAGCTAATAACAGTTGAATATATTTAGGCATGTTGCCTCTCTTAAGATGAAAGAAGGAATAAAATGTACGTTTGGAGGAAGAGAAAAAAAGAGGAGGTTCAGGATACACCAGTTTACATTTTAAATATAGTTTCTTAAAGTAAAATGTGACTTAAATCTACTCGAATATGTACTATATGTTTCTGTAGATCAACTCTAACTCGTTAATAGGGTTTTATACTACTTTTATCTGATTGTACTGTTGGTTTTACAACAACAACTTCACTATGTACTAATGTATTTCCTCAGTTGTGTTGGGAATACGGATGTAAATTAGCAGTTGAGCTAACCCCGGCACGTTTACACTGATGTTGTAATTGTTGATTAATGTGCGCTGTCCCCTAGAATAAAGAAATAAAACAATAAAAATGAACCTGTAATAATAATATAAAGACACTGATAACATAAAAGCCAGCACACACATAATAACTTTAGCTGATGATTATAATGTCTCCAGCCTCGTGTAGCTTTACCTTCATGTACTATAACCATATTTATACTATATTAAATGATACACTATTATTCAATAGTATCAGAAGTACTGAAGATATAAAACAGATCTACAATCACATTCTCAACAAAAGCCAATACAGATGAAACAATAAGAAATTATCCTATTTTGTGTTCCTAGGACTTCTTTTTCATTATCAAAATAGATATTAACTATAAAACTATAATGAACTATTCTATCGGCGTTTAAAATTACAACCTAAATACACAATAATACATTTGCTAAACTGTGTAACTATGTGACATTGTCTTATTCAAAATGTTTATTACTACAATAATAAAAACATTAATCCTGACGTCAAACAGCATTGAGCTTATATTTAAATTCAAGAGAGGGAAACTCATCTTGGTGTGGCTGTAACTTTACCAGTCACCACTGACTGATGATTACAGAGCTGTCCGCAATATAAAAAGGAATATTTTAAAAGTTTAAAGAGCAACTTACATGGGCTAACATCTCTGTAACGATTCCGATTCTTGTTTTCGGGTAATTTGGCAAACTTGCAAGGTAGTTCACATGACTGATGACGAATCTCCTGTGACAGAATAAATTAAAAAAAAACATCATTACAGCAACATTGCATTTATATCACATTAAAGCACAGTGGTTAAGGCGTGCTAGAAAACTTAAAAGAGACAGTAGGCCTATATCTGAGCATCTGGTTCACTTCTGGGACTTACAGTTAATGTAAATTATCTAATAGAACAGCCAAGTGTCAGGGACAAGAAGAAACCCCTCTTACAGGAAATAATCTGCTCAAAATGCATCAAAATCACTCGTTTTACACAAACTTCTTGCAGTTATCGAGCTCCCTGTGTGGGTTCATTGTACAATTTTAAAATATAATGTGAAATATCAATAAAATGTCACATAACCAGGGGTTGTCAGTTTAATAAATTAAAAAACTGCTGTAAAGTTTCCTAAAAATGGGTGTTGTTCCTTCCTATATTTAATTCTGTGGAAAAAATAAAAAAGAATAAAAACACTGTAGATGTTATATAACTCCCTAAATACAATACCAGCTGATAATTAATAGATATTCTGTGCAAATATAAAAATAAAATAGGCACTAAAACTTTACAATGTGTGCAGCCACAGTTTAATGATGGGATGTTGCAGACACATCAATCTGTTGGGGACCAAACTAAAGCCGAACCAGGGCTCAATAAGTGTTAGATAGATACCTATAAACCATCATATTTTAATTAATTTGTCCTGGAAGTTGCAGCCTCACCAGCGGACCACTTCCACCTTCATTTACCGAGAGAGAGACAGGGGAGGGCGGGGAGGGAGGGAGGGGAGGACCTACCTGGTAAATGGCGCTCCAAGTACCGTTTTCATCGATTTCCCCAAACTCGGCTTCCATTGCTGACAGTCCAGCTGCCACTCCTTCTTCCTCTTCTTCCTCTTCTTCCTCCCGATACAGACACCCACAGCTCACCAGTGACTAGACAGTTTTTTTTTTTATACTCTTACCAGTGTCCGGTAGTAGCCGACAACTGTTCCGCCACACTTGTGTAATTCTCCGTACGGCAGCACATAGATTACCGTGTTACCGCTCCCTCTCCCTCGGCCTGCTGTTAGCGGAAACCCGCCGCTGGCTCCTCCTACACGGTGTTAGAGCCGCCGTCCTCGGGTGTCTGAAAAAGAGGGTTATTTTGTTTTTATATATATATAATAATATCGATAATATTCCGTGTTGAAGTGGGGTTTTTACCCGTCTTTGTCGCAGCTGGAGATGTAACTTTGTGTGTGTGTGTGTGTGAGAGAGTCGCTTTACCTTTCCAACGGCTGCTTTTGGAGACAGAGCAGCGAGGACGCGCGGAAGGCATCTTGTTTCTGGGGCGTAGTGCGCAGGTGCAGCGTCCCGGAGGTGACGACGTGCGTCTGCGCGGTCGCCATATTGGTAAGGTCAAGATCCGCCGGTTGATAGTGTGAGACAGGCAGACTGCACTCTTCCTAATCTATAAATATAGGTTTATTCTCCTGTGAATCTAAATTAATATAAACAAGTTAAATGTATTGTTAATAATATTATAATTAAGATAAGATAATTCCTTTATTTATTATTTATTTAAGGAGAAATTCATTCTGACACAGCAGCATTAGAGCAAAACAGCCCAAAAACAGAAAACAAAGAATATCACAGTAAAAATATTGCTAATATTATTAACATTAGAATATATAAAAACTATAAATTAAAGTATACACACTATTTGTTGTTCAAGTAGGACATGGAGTCCAAAATATGAGCAGAAAATTAAACTAAACTAAAACTACTAAAGTGGAAATTAAATATAAATAGTGCAAAAGGTTTGTGCGTTGTAGGTAGGAGTTCTAAACCAGTCTTTATCTGCTGGGGCTGGAGGAACTGGGAGCTGTGGCGCTGTGGGGTCTGATGGCAGATGGTACAAATGAGCCTCGGGGCTGGATCCGTCTGTGGCTGAAGATGCTCCTGAGCTGCCTCAGCTCAGCGTGGAGAGGATGAGAGGTAATTATAATAGAATAGTATATACATAAATGTCGATTCGCCAAATCATCCAACTACCGCGTGGCAGGAATTTAATAATGAGCTAACCTTATTAAATAAATGTATAAGGAAAATAAAAAAATGCCCCTGCCCAAAGACTTTGTGCATTAATGTCTGATTTTTTAAATACTTTTTCTTTTATTTATTTATTTTTCCATTTGTTGCTGTTGTTACCCGCATGTGTTATTAGAATCTCTTGTCATTGTGTTGACTAGGATTGATTTTACTGATCCATGATTGAAAAAAAGAAAGCAAATTGTTTCTGTTCCTTTGTACAAAGTGAGTTTGTTTAATAAAGCATACAAAGTATGATCTTGTCTTTCTGTAAGGTTTCATTCAAGTCATCCATAAATAGTCTCAACGCAACCGTCACACACTCTCGTATGTGAAAGTCTGAAAGAGCCTCGATTGGAAGAAGCAGTATGGTTTTATCCTTGTTGGAGCGTCACTCTAACACAGAGACACATTCCTGAGTTGTGGGACAGAAAGTGTGGTGAGATGATCACGTCCTTGGCTCCTTAGTGAAGTCTCAACATCCCGCTGTGTACTCGGACATAGAGTTCAGTTAGAAACAGGGTTAAATGTTGTTTGCATATAATATCCTCTTTAACAGTTGCGTATGGTTTTACAACGACCAGATCAAAGGGTTGTATAGGTTCCTAAATATTGCCATTACACTAGTTAATAAAGAGAGGTGGAAAAAAAGAGATCCAAACTGCACTACAAAATCAGCTGTTACTCACTTAATTCTGAAACTGATTTTTAAGGTATTTGGTTTTGAGAAACTGAACATGATAACTGAATTAATTCAGTCACTATAGGGGCAGATCTAATCAGCTCTATGCCCCCAAACAAATTCTTAATAGCCCTTAACTTCCACTGGAACATGCAGGCGCGGTGATATAAACAGGCTACTTCAAGTGTAGATTCCTAGATCATCTTATATTGTTATAAAAGCCACCTGGTTGCTTGTTTTTGTGAAATGTGAAATTTGTTCGTGGAAAACTGAAAGGATATACACAGTAGGCCTACATCTCAGCATTTGGTTCACTTCTGTGAGGAGAAGTTAATGTAAAGTCTCCAACAGAACCATGGCCAAGTGTCAGGGACAAGGAAACACACATAAAAAGTTTGTTTTATTGTTAAAATTATTTTAAAAAATACATAAATGTTTCACGTTTATACATCCACACGCTGCACAAGCCTGCAGCATTTTTCCAAGAGGTGAATCTTGACTGGTTTTTTTTTGTGCATACAGCTAATTAAACACACCAGTATCAAGTTCAATTTCTCACGTTTATAAAAAACCAAAAATCATGAAAATCGGTTCAGAAACAAGCGAGTTACGGTCCATTGCACAACAGCATCTCCCAACACTGCTAACTGACCGGATCATGACCTCCCCAACATGGCCACCGCGCAGACGCACGTCTAAAAATCGAGAACGCGGCCGTTCCCCCGGAGCGCGCACGTACACTCACGTAACGCTCTGTTTACGTCCAATCTGTGGACTCTCTGCTGCTGTGACCTGCTGCAGGTTTTTAGTCAACGAAACACTCTTAGCTGGTTAAAACAAAAAGAAACCCGCCTCGGGGGATGATATGGGAGTATTTTGAAATCGCAGACAGTGCGTGTGCCCAGCGCGGGTCGCTGATAGTGTGACCCAGCAGAGGTCATCATGGATTAGCTGTTAGTTCAGAGGCTTTCTGCACACACACACTGACTGACAGCAAGAACTGGGACAAGGGACTTTGGTGCTACTAACGTTAGCTTGCGACGCCACTTAGCTGTACGTTTTCTTAAAACTGCTGCGACAGGTATTTTTGTAAATTCTTGACAAGTTCTTCTGTGTGTGTCGCTTCATGTGTTGTCTTCCTCCGACCACCGGCTCACTTTATATGGCTGTGTTTTTCCTAGTTGTTGTGTAGCGTTGGCGTTAGCTCCCCCCCCCTCTTTCAGCTGTCGTTGGCTGGCTGCTTGTGCTAATGTGTAGCTATAGTTATTGCCTCCCAGTGGTGGAAAAAGTATTCAAATCTTTTAACGGTAAGTTGCTTTGGCGAATGCACAGTGCACAATTAGATCTCAAATAGAAATCAAAACACCCCATTGTTAGCTGTAATCTAGATATAAGACCTGTGACTGCAGATAAGGGCCCTGTCACATAAGCTTTGCATGGAAAATCTTAATTTGCTGACTGCAGCTGTCAGACAAATTTAAATAAATAAGCATAAAGTATATTATTTACCTCTAAAATGCAGTGGAGCTCGCACAAATTGGACACACTCAAGCTGAGTAAGTACATACACTTTATTTATTTTGTTTCTCAGGCTTTCTAACTCACGCAAGTTACATCAAATATACATTATATCTGTTTCTGTTGGGCGCTCACACACACGTCACACAACAAACTTAACAAATGTGGACACAAAACACACTCACTCACCAGATGATCACACGTATATATATATTAAGTGCCGTGTGTGTTTGTCCGTCTCGTTGTTTTTTTTTTTTAGAGTCCTGGAGTGGTTTGAGATCGTTGAGAGATTCTCAAGGCAGCATGGCGCCCAAAGACATCATGACCAATTCCCACGCCAAATCCATCCTCAATGCAATGAACTCGCTTCGCAAGAGTAACACACTCTGTGATATCACTCTGAGGGTGGAGAACACAGATTTTCCAGCTCACCGGATCGTCCTGGCCGCCTGCAGCGACTACTTTTGTGCCATGTTCACCAGTGAGGTAACTAAACATACTGTAGTACTCTTAAAAACTAATTATCGCTATTATTTACCTCTGCAAAACGTGTTACATACATCTTGATAGAGAATAAGAGTATCTATCCCTCAGGGAGAAGATGCCCCAGTTACAGATTAAGAGGCTTTCTGAGAGTTTCTAAGGAAGTGTTTGAATTTACTAAACAAGACAATTATGGGAATTGCTACAGGATAATACCCAATGCTTATAACTAATCCCTCAATGATATGTTTCTTGTCATTAGACTTGATAGCCTCTCTTTTTGTGGCTCTGCAGCTTGCAGAGAAGGGAAAATCTTTTGTGGACATCCAGGGGCTCACTGCAGCAACCATGGAGATCCTGTTGGACTTTGTGTACACAGAGACGGTGTTAGTCACAGTGGAGAATGTCCAAGAACTGCTCCCTGCTGCATGCCTGCTGCAGCTCAAAGGTAAGATTAAGAGTGCCGGCTGTACCTTGATTTGAAAAGTGTGTGCGTAAGTCAGCTGATATGGTTGTGAGTATTGGCAGAGGGTTTCTGCAGGTCTTTAAATTCAGTGTCCGCAAACAAAAAAAGGAGTTAAATGGTATTAAAAAGTCATAAATGTAAGTGTTAAATGTTTTCTCTTGCCTGCTGTTGGCAGTTATGTTAGTTTATTTGTAATTAATTAATAATTTTGAATTGGTTAATCCATCCATCCACATAATGCCACTTAATACCACTTAACCCAGTCTAGGTCACATTAGTTTAATTAATCCTGTCATCAGGAATTATTATTACTGTTATATACTGCTGGGAAGTGATGAAAAACGTGATATATTTCCATTCTGCGTGGTATTAAAAGTCTTTTAAAAGTCTTACATTGAACCCTGCCGGAACCCGAGGCACGGCATTGCACCACTTTTCAAAAGAAATGGTTTCATCATTTCTAAATTAACAGTTGTTGAGTAACACGAGAGTCACGTCCGTCATTATCTGGCTGAATGTGAACGAAACCTGTGTGTACACACGAATGTATCTTTGTTTTTGTCCTCAGGGGTGAAAAGAGCATGTTGTGATTTTTTGGAGAGTCAGCTTGATCCTTCCAACTGTCTGGGTATTCGTGACTTTGCCGAAACTCACAATTGCCTTGACCTGATGCAGGCCGCCGAGCTCTTTTCCCAGAAGCATTTCTCTGAGGTGGTTCAGCATGAGGAGTTTATGCTGCTCAGCCAGACAGAAGTGGAAAAGCTCATAAAATGTGATGAAATCCAGGTAGGAAAACTGGATGTCATGAGGTTTTCTTACTTTTTGGCATCAGCTGCATGATTAATCGAAATATTACCAAAATTGCAACAAGTGCAGGATCCAAATTGCAGCAGTTTTTCATTATTTAGCATTATAATGAAGTTCTGTTGTGCTGCAGAGATTTTCTAGCCTTTACATCTTGTTCTCCTGATGTAAGAAGACACGTTTGTTTGGTACAAACCTCAACAAATATCACATCATATCAGCAAAATAATCTTTCTTACCATATCGTGTAGCCCTACTGCGGAGGCTGGTCTGAATACTATGCATAACTAAATGTTTTATTTGAAATACCTGAAACCATAATGAGATACCTGCTCCCTGAAGCATTCGTGTACAGACCTGCAGTAACTCTAAAGGGTTCCAATTGGTGTTAAGGTGCCCAAAAAAAGCAGCTTGACTAAAATAGTGCAGTGTCAGATGAGTTTGACTTTCACAGCTTTCTTATTATCTTTCACCTGAGTGAGTGTGAGAAGAGGAAAGCAAGTACCGACCTGCTGTAATCTTAGTCGGTGGGCCCCCCCAGTTCCACTCACTTTTGCGGATTGGCCTGACAATGAAATTGCAGAGAAGAAAACCTGATTTAAGTTTGCTTTTGTGCTCAGGAAATTCCTGTTCCCAACCACATGCCTTGCTTTGTGAAAACACAGTTATTATCACTCAATGATTTATAGATCATCAATTCTGTCAAATGGTTCTTCCTGTCATTTTTGTTGTTTTTAAAATAAAAACTAGACCATGCAGGTAAATCACAGTCACGCATTATTTTGCACTCAGTAAAAACTTTCCTTCTTTGTGTTCGTCTTTCCTCGTGTGAGGATTTCAGGGTGAGAATTTATGGCTTGTTTCACCTTCAGGAGACTGCGTTGTTGCACATTGTGTGTGCCTTTGCGATTACAAACGTAATTGCAACTGCAGAACAATTAATAATAACAGTTGGTTAGTTAGTTAGAGTGGTTGCATCACTAATGGACTTTTATCTGCAGTTGTGAGCTAATTTTTGAATGAATATGTGGCTTTAACGCAGCTTCTTCTCACTCTATATGCTGTCTGTATGAAGGTGGACTCGGAGGAGCCTGTATTTGAAGCCGTGTTAAACTGGGTCAAACACAACCGAAAAGAGCGAGAGCCCTACCTGCCAGACATGCTCGAGTTCGTTCGAATGCCGCTCCTGACCCCCCGCTACATTACAGATGTCATTGATGCTGAGGTGAGTCAGGCGACACGCGGCAGGTTGTCGTGTAATCAGACGCCAAGCTCTTCGATGAAGGATTATGTGTTATAGTATATATCACCGTTACCCCTGTAATTAAGCATGTTTTGACACGTTTTAGCCCCTCATTCGGTGTAGCCTGCCATGTCGAGACCTCGTTGATGAAGCCAAGAAATTCCACTTAAGACCGGAGCTGAGGAGTGAGATGCAGGGCCCACGCACACAAGCTAGATTAGGTAGAAATCCTGTTTTTAATAGCGACTTTGCTATATGCATGCCTCCTCCTATACACCTTCTTTGTAATCCACACTGGTATTAAAAGTGATTTATGGTTCCTTTCAGGTGCCAAAGAAGTCCTGTTGGTTATTGGCGGGTTTGGCAGCCAACAATCACCAATAGACATAGTTGAGAAATATGATCCAAAAACACAAGAATGGAGTTTCCTTCCTGTGAGTATCAGAACTTTTGAAAAAGATCCTTGCATGTTTTTTTATCTTAGTGGATTTGGATAATTTAAGCCTGTATTTCTTTAAACAGAACATTGCACGGAAGAGGCGTTACGTCGCCACGGTGTCTCTCCACGATCGGGTTTATGTGATCGGAGGCTACGACGGTCGGTCGAGGCTCAGCTCCGTGGAGTGCCTGGACTACACGGCGGACGAGGACGGCGTTTGGTACACCGTCGCCACCATGAATGTGCGCCGCGGCCTCGCTGGAGCCACGACGCTCGGAGGTGAGCGAGCTCGTTTGCCAGATGAGTCAGCGGTGTTTCCTTTCCGAGAAATTCCCCGTGGATGTTTTCTTCTCTCTCAGAATGGTATACAATAACAAAGCAGTTGTGTTTTTTCCATCTTATTTGGCTCTCGACAGACATGATCTATGTCGCCGGTGGCTTCGATGGCAGCCGACGTCACACCAGCATGGAGCGATATGACCCAAACATCGACCAGTGGAGCATGCTGGGAGATATGCAGACGGCAAGAGAGGGAGCTGGTCTGGTGGTGGCCAGCGGACTTATATACTGTCTAGGTGGGAACAGATTAACTTAACGTCTCATTCTTTAATAACTTTGACACATATTGTGGTCATATTAGGGCTGGATTGCTGATTGTTTTCTTAATTAGGTCCAAAAATTATCCAAATATTAGTGAAATCCAAACATTACCAAGTGCAATGTCCAAATCGCAGAAGCTGCAGTATTTTAATAAAAGTAAAATGTGTGACAAACATTATAAAGAAGTACTTGAGGGCTGCAGAGAACCTACAAATCTTGTTCTCCAGATGTAAGAAAACATGTTTGTTTGGTTCAGACCTCAACAAATGTCACATTATCACGATTATAACTGCAAAAATGATCATTCCCACTGATTGTGAATCAATATCTGTCAAAATTATTGCAATATCATGCATCAATTAATCATTTTGTCTATAAAATGTCTGAAAATATAATTTGCCGGAGCTAAAGGTTGCATGTCCAAACCCAAAGACACTCAGTTCACCATCAAATAAGAAAAAGAAAAGCAGCAAATCCAAACATTTGAAAAGCTGGAAGCAGCAAATGTTTATCATTCTGCTTGAATCATTTCAATAGCTTCCAATTAATTTGCCTACCAGCTACAAATATAACGTGAACACGAGAGAGATTTCTCATCCTCAAAGACATAAAACCATTAAAGCAAACATAAATCCAACATTTCTGCAGCAGTCATGTACTTGCACTCTCTCCTGTCAGGCGGTCAAAATTAAGCATTTTTCATTTGAGCTTCTTGTCGTCTTAATAAATGCTTCAGTCAACGGTCCATTTGTGCAGTAAAGACACCTGGATACACTTTAGACTCGTTTAAAACTCTGAAACTCCTGTAGGTGTAACTGTGTTAACAGAAAACTCTAAGGCTTTGATGGTTGACTAACTCTTAAAGACAACCTGTAAACGGACGTGAAGAGACTCGTTAACCAAACAACATTACGGCTACAAACAACCCATAATGCAACACTGTAAGACCTGGTGTTACACCGATACTCTCTCCTCTAATATCGGTAAAATCTAATAACATCTAACGGCTAACGTTCATTTTCATTATGGATTAATATGACATCAATTTCCTTAATTAGTTGGTTAATTGTTTGGTTTATAAAATATCCCCTGACAGTTTCTTCAGGGTTAAGATGAGATTTAGTTTGACCTCCAAAATCCAAAGATATTTAATTTACTTTCACATAAGACAAAGAAAAGAAGAAAACTCTAACAAATGAGATGTTTTTTGAAAAATTTGTGCTTCAAAAAAACGTATAAATTATTTAAATAGTTGCCTATTATTTTCCTGTCAACTGATGAATCGACTAATTGTTGCAGCTCTGCACTTTTTCCTGATATTCCCTCACAGGCGGATACGATGGACTAAATATCCTGAATTCAGTGGAGCGTTATGACCCACACACAGGCCACTGGACAAGTGTCACACCAATGGCCACCAAGCGGTCAGGTAGGTAAGACGACACAACAGACAGAAGTAAAATATCACGGCTAACTGAGTGTGTTACTGTTTATCTGAGACTTCTCTGCTGTTTTTCAGGGGCTGGTGTTGCTTTACTCAACGACCACATCTACGTAGTGGGAGGCTTTGATGGTGTGTCGCACCTCGACTCTGTTGAGGTCTACAACATCAGGACGGACTATTGGACCACTGTGGCCAGTATGACCACCCCGCGATGTTACGTAGGAGCAACCGTTCTCCGAGGACGTCTCTATGCCATCGCCGGGTAAGAAAGAGTGTCCTAGTGTCTGATTTTAAAGTGATAGTCGGTAACGTTCAGAAGAATTCTGTGTTGGTTGTTATTGTCCTATAACTATAACTGTCCAAACTATGTAGTATGTAGAACTATGTATGAATGAGACATGAGGTAGTTGGATTATTTTGGTTACTTTCAAAAATGTAGCTCGACTATTGTGTGACTCTGTCCTTAAACGTAAGAGTTAAATGATTTATAATAACACTCTGTCTTAGGTAATGTATCAGTTCCATAGGTGTGTAATGGTACACAGAGGTTATTATAGTTAACTAAAACCAAAAAATCAAACTAGGTGTGAAAAAAACATTTAGTTAACTGAAATAAAAATGAAAACTAGACTTTTAAAAATAATGAAAAGTAACTGAAACGATATTGTGTACTTACAATGTCTTTAGTTGTTAGACTGGGGTGTCTCTGTGACTGTGAATCAGATGCCTTCACAAAGTTTGTTTCTATTGTAATATCTATCCTGAACATCTTAATTCTTCCCCCTCACTAACAGCCCCCACATTGTTGTTTTAAAAAGCTAAAACTAACACAGAAACTAATAAACACTAAACATTGTTAAACAATAAAAACAAACTGAAACTAAACTGTAAAACTAATTAAAAATACAAAACTACAATAACTCACTCGAGTAGTAGTTCACATTAATAGATTATTTTTACAGTATTTGGTACAACAGGCTCTCACTGTTGTCTCTCTCTCTCTCTCTCTCTCTCTCTCTCTCTCTCCCTCTCTCTCTCCCTCTCTGCCCTCTCTCTCTCTTTCTCTTCTCTCTCTCTCTCTCTCTCTCTGTCTCTCTCTCTCTCCAGATACGACGGGAACTCTCTCCTCAGCAGTATTGAATGTTACGACCCGGTCATCGACTCCTGGGAGGTTGTTACCTCGATGGCGACTCAGCGGTGCGACGCGGGCGTCTGCGTTCTACGAGAAAAGTGATCGTTGCCAAGCACAAGAGGAAACTCAGACGGGAAGACAGGCAGCTAAACTTTTTGCTAAGAAAAAATGCCACTAAAACAGAGCCACAAAGGGAGATGTTTGTTTCGCCAGTGTGCAAAAATAGGTACTCTGAAATGAATAAGCGCTGCAGCTTGGGGACGGCCTCCTCCTCCCTCCCTCCCCCCTCCGTTGGATGGTCGACCCCCTCCGACACTTGGACTGCGCAACAGAGATTCAGCTTCGCCGTGGTAGACTTCACCTCAAAAGAGGCCTCCAAGGAGCCCATCACCACTTGCATGACTCTCTTTGGTGGTACTTGTCGTTACCTGTGAGATTATTTTTTCAGTTTGTCTTCAAAGTGCAATATATTTCTACTCATCATAAGAAAAAAACATGAAAAGATGGAGTTGATTTAGACTCCAGTTGCTGCTATATGCCTTATGACTTTGGCCTACATCAAACAGTGAACATCCGTGTTGCCTCCCATTTGACTTTGATGATAGTTACAGTACATCGGCTTGTTATCGAGCGTACTCATTTGGCATTTGCAAGGTCATGAATGGGTCAGTAATTCAAACCCCCTTTTTTGTAATTCTTCCTGTAAACAGTGCTTTTAGATTCAAATCACTTTAATACGAAATGTTTAATACTTACTGTTGCTTTCAGAATGAATATATATTTAGAGATAAATATTGTTTTAGAAAATGACTGAATTGTACCAGGTTACTTGGATTATTTTCGTCCCTCTATCTGGAGCAGGTGAAGAAAGTCACAAAGTAGTAAGTATGAGGTGCATGTGATTTGTTTTTCTTCCTCAGCTTATACATTTGGACATGTACATGTAGGACACAAAGTCATAACATCACTGTTGCCTGGAAAGTGAATAAACACTAAGAACTGACAGTTTTTGTCTGTGGTGCATCTTCTTTCGTCTTTAGTGATGCAGAAAACTCTATTTTTTACTCTATTTCAGGCATTATTTACATCTACAGAGCAAAAAAAGTGGAGAAATCATCCAGCCACAGTCTCAAATTCACTAACCTGTGCAGAGTAGAATCCATTTTATCCCTGTACCACTTAATGTGTGCATTTTAACACACAGAAACAATAAAAACTACATGTCCACATGCCACCAAATTACTGGTTTCAGTGTCCAAACTCCCAATATGTTGTTCTGGCAGCCTGTATAAACATATATTTTCTTTAAGCTCGCTTCAACAATGTCAAAATTACTCCATTACAAGTAAAAGTCTTCGTACTGTGCACAAGTATTATCAACAAAATTTGACCCCAACTTTTACCCCCCTGGGACAGATACATTATTGTAAATTAGATTAATATCTAATCTTGTAGCTGGTTGATAGTTTAAACTACTTCACATCCAGTTTAATCCGTCGGTCCCAAAGGGTCACGATCAGCCGGTGGGTTGTGAGATGGTTAATGGAAAGAAGGGAAAAACAAAAGTCCTGCTTCAGAAATTACAAATATCACAAGTTGACACAGTTTTTTTAAGAAGATGCCACAGCTGTATTTTATAATTTGAACCTGCAAAGTAACTAAATCTGTCCAATAGATGTAGTGGAATAAAATGCCTGCTGGTGTTAGCATTTGGCTTTAAAGCACCACTGAGCCTACAGCCTAACAGTGAAAGTAGACTCTCATTTTAATTACATTCTCCTTTCTATCAAACTCACATCCACTAAATGTAACGCTGCCACACAGTCAATGGCTCCCAGTGTTTCTGGCAGAATATCTCACCATACAGGAAAGTTAACTCGCTTTTATTGGGATGAAGTGAACTTCTGCTGAATGCTGCATTGAGCAATCAGATAGTTACACGTCTGTTTCCTGAGAAAGAAAAGAATAATGATCAAACATGTTACCACACAGGAGCTTATCAATATGTCTCTTTTGATTAATGGTGACATTATGATTCAATAGAAGGTACATTTCACATATTGTACCATCCTCATAACCATTAAAAGGTCATTACAAAGCAGCGGTTTAATGATCTTTTACTGGGGTCAATTTTGAGATAATTGTACTTTCTTAGTATTTCCATTTTAAGCTTTTTTATACTTATTGTCTACAACACTTATTTAACTGCTACCGTTACTGCAGGTTAAACTATTAATCCAAAATTAATTATCAAGATATGTATGTTATATAGTGAACTACAACAGTAGGCTGCACATTTTAAGTTAACCATAGTGCATCAGGAATAACGAAGCAGTAACACGTATGAATGCACAAAGTTGTTTTATAACTACAAACTCATTCTTGTCAACACTGGCTCATAAAACACAAATTTATATAAACCAGATTAATGCTGCATACACATTTTTAAATTATACTACAAAAAATATAGGACGACAACATTCGAAAGTCAAAAGTATAAAATACTGGAAAAATCTGTATAAATGCTAATTAAATAATCCTATTTCATGCTAAATTAAAACTTAAACACATCAGAGTTAAACAACTATTCCCATTTTTAATCACCTGAATATATCAAAACGGGACTCAAATCAAACAGCTCACTTCATCTGTTTTCCTTCTTTAAGTAATGGATCTGAATTCTTCTTCCACCACTTTATGATGTTCTGAAACTGTCAGTCAGATGTGAAATAACCAGAAAACTGTGGTTTGACCTTTTATTTGATACCTTTTAGCTGCGTTTCAGATTAAGATTAACAACACAAAACAACAAAGTCAACAAATAAATGATGTGTTATAATGACTAAAGTCTTGCTGCCACCCAGCAGTATATAATGTCCTAGACTGCCAGGGGGAGGGGACTTCCCATGATGCATTGAGCTCCTCTCTTCCTCTCTATCTGCACTGATTAAATTAACTTCTTCCCTTCTTTTGTGTTTTCTGGTCTCACAGGTTCTCGTGGATCCTAGTTGTGCCAAGTACAGTTCTTACTGTTGCTGTTATTACTGTGCATGTTTGTCTCTTTGTCTTTCTCTCTTTACTCCCCTCTCTCCCCCCGTCTCTCTCTTTCACAACCGGTCGAGGCAGACGGCTACAGTTTTTCCTTGCCACTGTCGCCAACTTCTCGCTCATGGTTGGAACTGTTGGGTCTTGAACAGCTCTATTTTAAAAAGTGTCCTGCGATAACTTTTGTTATGATTTGCTGCTACACAAATAAAACTGAATTGAATTGAATATATATAGTAAAAAAATAATCTCCCCCTTTACCAGCTGCAACATTAAAGCCAGAGTTCGGGACTTTTACATATGAATAAATGATAAACGTCTGTTATGTTCAGACCAAACAAGTTTACACTGCTGATTAAGCCAATCACCACCAATCTCTTCACATTATGTTCTTGAATCTGGTGTGATTGGTTGATTGGTTTGCCAGAACTTAAGGAGGAGGAGCTGCCGTACTGATGGAGACGCCTAAAGCAACCGTGTCGGAGACTTTGATGAACCTGCATCAACAGTGTCTGTGTAATTACTCTCACTGACAGGACTGGGACAAAAGTTCAGCTCTGCAGGGTTAAAGTACCTATTAATGCTCTCTAAGTACCACAATTATGACGTTAAAATACAAAAGTGTAGTCCGACCCTACTCAGTTCCAGACTGTTGTTGAATCCTGAACGGAGCCGAGTTCAAGAACCAGAGTGTATTCAGTGGAAAAGGGCTCCTCCTGGTCCACACTTCTCTTCCCAATTGTTCCCATTTAAAGCCACAATTTTAGTGTTTTTTAACTTTTCATTTTACCTCTGCTTACTATCTCACCATCACATTTTCAGATGTATGTATCCATGCACTACATTCACAAATATGACTATCAGGTTGATATTTCAAACTACATTTCAGCAATCTCATAACTTTAAAATGTTGTATTATTTTAAGAGCATTATATTATATATATTTATTTCATCATTTCAGAGGTTCCTCTGCATACCACTAGAGGCAGCTGGTGTACCACCAGTGGGACACGTGCCATAGTTTGAGAACCAGCAGTATATATTATTATAAAATAGACAATTCTGACATAAAAACTGACATAAAACTTTTACTTTTTGTACTTTTGTATATTCTGATGCTCATGCTTTTGTACTTTTACTCAAGTCAAAGTCATTTTGAATGCAGGACTTTTAGCTGTAACAGAGTATTTCTACACTAGTTTTACTCAAATAAAAGTGACAGAAAGCTGAACTGAGTCAAATGGATAAATATGGATGAATTATAATGTGACAGATCTCTGTTCTTTCTTGTGCTGCACGCCAGTAACAAGCAAAAAGTGACTACAGCAACATGTTGAGGGAGGGAACCCATCCCTCCCTCCCTCCATCTATCTATCAACTCCCTACTCTGCTTGTCTGCAGCCTGAATGAGCACTGTTAGACAGACACACAGGTGATCTGCAGATATAAAGAGCGTCTGGCAGCGGGTGGGACAGAGCAGGGGAGAATTGGCGGAGACAAGTTACGTGTCCTGTAAGAGCAGAGGAACCACAGTCCGTCTGGAACTTAACAGTATCCTGCACCAAAAAACCAGCTACTTAACTCTGCAGCGACATGGTAAGATCACCACAGTTTATTGGAAATGTGGATAGTTGAGTTTGGTATTTGTATCTCACTGTTTCTAAAATCTCCACCCTGTTCAAGATAAGTTAGGATTTTCTTTTTTCCAAACCACAAAACTCCGCCTGCATGAACACTGTGTGTATTTAAAATGTAAAATGCAGTTTGAGGTAACATACATGCAGCTACAAGCTTTTGGAGGCTTAAATGATTATACCTGGCTACTCTTTGCACTTTTATGAGTGTTAATAGTTTTGTGAGTTTATAATCACTGACAGCCAGCAAAGAGGAGCTCAAAGCTTCTTCTTCAGGCTCACGTTTGTAAACTGACCCCAAGAATAAAACCCTATTTTTTGTGAATATTTAAGTCTTTGGATGTATTATGAAAGTTCATATTCCAAACTGTCACTCAACAGCAAAAAATCATCTTGGGTGATGTTCTCCCTCCAGGGGGAAAAACTGAAATTCTCAACATGTTGAAACACGACTGCGGGAAAGCACTTAGAAAATGCAACAGTAGAGTGAATACGCCTCTCCTGTTTTTGACATTGTTTACACCTAACAACTAGAAAAGCACAAACACAATGACTAATAGAGTGAATCATCAGGCACTTTTTGCTTTGCACACTGAGCTGATCTTTATGGAAGCAAAGAAAGGCTGAAATAATTAAAATTTCATACACAACTGAATACAAACACTGAAACTAAATCACCAATGAAACCACTGAATTAATTTTATTTTATTATTTTATTCTGAAATTGATGTGGTTTATATTCCTCTCGTTGAAATGTCCAGTGGAAGATGGATGTCCCCTAATTCAGAAAGGCTGGAGCAGTGTTTCTGAACTTAAATATCAGTCATTCATAATTCCTAAAACAAGTATACTAGTTCAATGAAAACACATTTTATATTCAATATTTCTATTTTCACTGCAATCGTTAACTACCATAAAACCACTGGAAAAGAGTTTGATCCCTACGGTGAGAATGACCCTCATGAGCTCATGTTTCTCACTGCTGTCTTACCATTGATGCATGATGACAAAGAAGAGGTTTGCTATTAATTTAGTGATGGATTCTGAACATTTGAAATGTTTTTTTTTCAATAAACACTTCACAACACTGATGACGCAGCGCTGTACTGAACCTCTTTATATAGGCGTAGGGGGATACATTAATGGAAACAACTGGGCTACACAATCCAGTGTTCACAGTTCTGGTGTCTGAATTTCATAAATTAAATTTAAGACACTTAACACCTAAATTGAATTCTTGAATTTGCTTTACATTTTTGTCTTTTACTGAAATGTCTTTATTAACTAACTACAGATGTTCATGGTGCAGAGGGAGTGAATCCTAATCCCTCTGAGGTCCCCTGAGCTTCCCCTTTAGCGCCATCATCAGGTTTAATTTGTCCAATACTTTTGGTTTATGACCAAATACCTGCAAAACGATTCCCATCAGCCTCAGTTGTACTAGTCTAGTCTTCATTAGCAAGTGTTAGCATGCTGACATACTAACTTAAAAGTCCAGTGTGTATTTAGTTGCAGATTGCATCTCCCTGTCTTCACATTTCCAAGTGCAAAGGAGAAACTATGGTGGCTGTGAAAGATGCAAAAATGGGCTACTGTAGAAAAAACAAAAACACAACTATTCCTATATTCAGGTGATTATACACTAATGAAAACACAGCTATGAATATTACATTCAATTTCTGCCATTAGATCCTCCTAAATGTTACACACTGGACCTTTAAGATAGTTCACATAAACATTACACCTGCTTAACATCAGCATGTTAGCATAGTATTTACCTCAGATCACTGCTGTACAGCCTCACAGAGGAATGACTGTAGACTCTTCTTTGAATTTTGGATTTTGTGAACCCTAAAAACACTTTTTAAATCAGGTTTTTAAAACTGTACACGTTAAAATTAACTACAGAAAAGAGAGAATTCAAACTATTTCTGCAATAACTGAGTTTTTTGGCCACTTGGGGGCAGCAGTGGAAACAAGTTGTGAACACAACAATGACAACGAATTTGAATTTATTGAAAGGTTATCAGATGATGCAGCTTCTCATTTTAAGTTAATGTGGTGAACCTGATAACCAGCAGTTACGGACCAATATTATATACCTCATTTGGAGTCGTGCTTCTGACCATCCAATGAATGTGAGTCTGATATTCACTCCCCCTTTTAACTCTCTACAAACTCCTGAGGGAAATATCTGGCTCTTTAGCTGCTAAATGCTTCACTATGTTCACCAGCTGGCTAACTGTGTCTGTCTGGTGATGAGCAGTCAGCGGGCTTGTAGACTGTTTTCCCTGAAAACAGCTGCCTGTCGCAGCTGAAAATTATGCAATTAAGTGTAACAATGAACCGAAACAGTAAGATTTTGCTCCAGAAAGCTAAATAATGCATTGAAACTCATCATAAAACTCTGTAAAGCGGAGGGGAAGCTGCAGATTCAGGTGATCTGTCACATGGTTTTTACATTTTTATTAAAATATAGATTATAGCTGCTTTAAATTAAATGGTATTTAAATATCATTAGTAGGTATTTAGTAGTGATTTAGTTGCTTTTTAGATTCACTTTCTTATGGCTTCTCCTTGCTTTTATAGAGGTGTATTTTTATCTATTTAGAATAACTTCTTACTGCCCAAATCTACTCATTCATCATCAATGGTAGCAGTTTTACTTTTTAGAATTAAGAGATCAGAAACAGTGGATATGATTTATGGATGGCAAACATATAATATTATAATTCTAACAGGAACTATATGAGAAAACAACCTTTTTAATACTTTTCAGGTTAATGTTTGCAATAAATGGCTGTGCTTACAAACCATTCATGTTTTTGGGGAGTCACAAATGTTACACAAAAGAGGGACTAGAGTTGTTTTACTTTATGTTTTGTTGAGAATCTTAATATCCATCTGTATTGTTTCTTTTTCTTTTTAGAGAGAGTGCATCTCTATCCATGTGGGCCAGGCAGGTGTCCAGACAGGAAATGCCTGCTGGGAGCTCTTCTGCCTCGAGCACGGCGTCGGCCCCGATGGCGTCTTCCTCGACAGCCCCGCAGAACCAAACTCTCGTGAAGACCCGTTCAACACTTTCTTCAACACTGGGAGCTCTGGGCGTCACGTTCCAAGAGCGATATATGTGGACCTGGAGCCCACAGTGGTTGGTGAGTATTCCTGTATGTGTGTTTATTTTTACCCTTCCTTATCTCTATTTTTTTATTACAGCTCCCGTTGTCCTATTATGTGTGGAGTGCATCTCCATCCACATGGATCGTGCAGGTAACTGCAGATGGGAACGCTGGTATCCAAGCAACAAGTGCAGCGGTGACTCCTTTACCTTTTATTCAATACTGGCTAATATTTGCACAGAAGTGTGTTATGTAAATAGCAAGTTGCACAGAGCAGTGCTGGATTGATTTTAGCCACCAGGCAAAACCCTTCTTTCCAATATATCCCCTCAGTTCAATGATTGCTCAAGTTGCTTCATTTCATCATCACACAGTCTAAAACTGATCATCACAGCTTTCACTACAGGTTGTTGTGTATTTAAAGGTCCAGTGTGTAACATTTAGGAGGCTCTATTGGCAGAAATGGAATATAATATTAATGGGTATGTTTTTATTTGTGCATAATCACTTGAAAATAAGAATTATTATGTTTTTGTTACCTTAGAATGAGACGTTTTAAGCCCCAGATGGAGTGGGTCCGCCATGTTCAACAGTCAAACACTGGCTGTACATAGGAATAGTTAGATAGATAGTTTATCTGCGCTAGAAAGGTAAGCAGATATTCAGCTGGTTGCAATCTGCGACTTCACCGCTAGATGCCACTAAATCTTACAAACTGACACCTTTAAAATGTGTATGTAAGAATATGACATAGTTTCAGTAAAGCGCTTTATGAACAGTACGGAGCCACAAAGCTGACAAAATGTATTAAAAGGTTATTGTATCGGCTGAGCCTAAACTTAAAGCTAATAACTGGAGCACTCTGTATAAGAGTGTATAAGAGAGTCCAACTTCTACTTTTGATGGAGTATTTATTTCTCACCCTTAAAGATCTTCAGTGTCCATAAATCTCCATACAGCCAACATCTCACCAGCAACACCTGTTCTCCTGAGTGAAGGTTCCTACCTGCACTACTACTGACACCTACTGGACCAACGTGGTCCGACATACACTTCTAGAAAAGGCTCCTAGTCCAGTTATATTACTGAATACATCAATAAATAACACTTTTAGTTGCATAATTAAAATCGAGTGTAAAAAATAAATATTTATATTTTTCCTCTAGCCTCCAGTCAGTTTGTTAACAAAAATCTAAACTAATTAAAACATTTATCTGAATCCTTGTTTATCTTTCTGTTGCTCATTTGAGGAATAATTACAGCAACAAACTCTGTTCCAGTCTTCACATGGGACTTGAAAAATTGTGAACTTGTCCTTAAATCACTTACTTACTCCCTATTTTCCCCAATCAACATTTCCCATTTCCCTAATTTTAACTAGTTTGATGACTTTGTATTACATTTAGTCAGTTTTGGGACTCCACACTAACTCTATATAATGCTTAGAGTAAAATATTCAAGTTCAAGACTCATTTTTATACTGATTTTTAGTTTGTATATATATATATATATAACAATTAGCCATGAGTCTGTTACATTAACAGAACCATCAATGAGTCAATGTGCCGATAAAGCTGATACATGCCTGGACATTTGGCATCTGGTCTGTCAAGTTAAACCAAGTTATAGTTGATCTTATTGACCTTTTTCTGAATAAAACCTGTCTGTTTCAGATGAAGTAAGGGTTGGAAAGTACAAAGAGCTTTTCCATCCTGAGCAACTGATCTCTGGAAAAGAGGACGCAGCCAACAACTACGCACGTGGCCATTACACTGTTGGGAAGGAAATCATTGATGGAGTCATGGAGCGTGTTCGTAAGATGGTCAGTAATAATGATTGACGAATTACTGTTGATGTTTTTCAAAATAATTTCTGTGAGTGGATTCATTATCGTGGATTATGTGTAAAATTTGGTTATTATTGATGTGTAACCCTTGCATGAGGGTGATTCATCTCTAATTCACTTTATTAAAGAGTATTGTCATCACCATCAGCTGCATCTTGAACCGTCCTGTCTAATAAAGGCAAAAAGCTCTAAAACATGTTTTTTTTAAAAAGCTAACACATCAGCTATCATGTTAAGGAATAGTTCAACAGTCCGCTCATTGTCTTGTTTGTTTAATCTGAACAGAAAGTCACAGTTTTAATCTCTCTGTCTGGATTAAACAAATGAGATATGATTTGTTCATTTCTGAGCTTTAGAGATGCTGGTAGGAGGATTTTGTTCCCTTTGTACAGATCCAGGCTAGCTGTTTCCCTTTGTTTCCAGTCTTTGTGCTAAGCTAAGCTAACAAGCCGCTTGCTGTAGCTTCCTACTGAATGAACAGATGTGAGAGTGATATCGATTTATTCATCTAACTCGTTGCAAGTGAATGTCAAACTATTCCTTTAACAGAAGTTTCTCTCTGTCGTCCTCATCAGACGGACCAGTGCACGGGCCTGCAGGGGTTCCTCGTCTTCCACAGCTTTGGAGGTGGAACCGGCTCCGGCTTCACCTCCCTGCTGATGGAGCGTCTGTCCGTCGACTACGGCAAGAAGTCCAAGCTGGAGTTTGCCGTGTACCCGGCTCCCCACGTGTCGACCGCTGTGGTGGAGCCCTACAACGCCATCCTGACCACCCACACCACCCTGGAGCACTCCGACTGCGCCTTCATGGTGGACAACGAGGCCATCTACGACATCTGCCGTCGCAACATGGACATCGAGAGTCCCGGTTACATAAACCTCAACAGATTGATCGGTCAGATTGTTTCCTCAATCACGGCCTCCCTTCGCTTCGATGGCGCCCTCAATGTCGATCTGATGGAGTTCCAGACCAACCTGGTCCCATTTCCACGTATCCACTTCCCTCTGGTCACCTACTCACCCATCATCTCTGCTGAGAAGGCCTACCACGAGCAGCTGACTGTGTCCGAGATCACGGGCGCCTGCTTTGAGCCGACCAATCAGATGGTCAAGTGCGACCCTCGTCACGGCAAGTACATGGCGTGCTGCATGCTGTACCGCGGCGACGTCGTCCCTAAGGATGTGAACGCCGCCATTGCAAGTATAAAGACCAGACGCTCGATTCAGTTTGTCGACTGGTGCCCGACTGGCTTCAAGGTGGGAAATGTTACGGAGGTGAGAAGTGTGAGTTTGAGTCTTTATCAGTCTGATCGTTATCTTTGTCTCGACAGGTTGGCATCAACTACCAACCGCCAACTGCAGTTCCCGGTGGTGACTTGGCCAAAGTCCAGAGGGCCGTGTGCATGCTGAGCAACACCACCGCCATCGCCGAGGCCTGGTCTCGTCTTGACCACAAGTTCGACCTCATGTACGCTAAGCGCGCGTTCGTCCACTGGTATGTGGGCGAGGGCATGGAGGAGGGCGAGTTTGCGGAGGCCAGAGAGGACCTGGCGTCTCTTGAAAAGGATTACGAAGAGTTGGGTCGAATGAGCCCCGATTCTGAAGATGACGACGAATACTGAATGTCGTGATCTCGGCTGCACGGCAGTGATTCTATCCTGTACTGAGTCAATAATGATTTAATATCTGTACCGCGTAACTTCTGAGCTTTTGATGATTTCTCTCGCTGTTTTTATAAAGTCAACTTTAGATTCAGAAGAATTGTTGTATTTGAATTGTGCTGTGGAATAAAGTTTGTCTTGCAGGGTGTAACGGTGGTGTAAGACGACACCAAGTAACCGCCGCGTCCCCGTTTCAAATACAGGTCACTTCCTCTTCCTCTCAGTCTCCCCCAAAACAGAAACATTGTGGTTAAATAATCTGTATCTTCTTGACTAACAACGGTACCGTCTCTTCGTCCAGTGAACGCTACACACTTACTGATTTAGAAACTCACTTCCTCAGAGAAGAGAGGTGACAGAAACTATAATTAATGATGTTTTATTTAGATAAAATAATGTGCATTACTCTCACATTGTAATACATGCTGGGGTTTTTGTAAGAATACTGTATATAGTAACACTGTAAGAAATACAAACACTTCATATTAGTTTAGTTTTGGTTTATTTGAAAGATCCAGTGTTTAACATTTAAGAGGATTTATTGGATTTATAAAATAGGTATGTTTTCATTAGTGTATAATCACATGAATATATCAATTGTTATATTTTTGTCACCTTAGAATGAGACGTTTTTATCTACGGTTGCTGCAGGTCGCCTTCCGTTGAGTCCGCCATGTTGAACCGCCATGTATCTACAGTAGCCCAAACAGACAAACTAAACACTAGCTATAGATCGGTCTGTTCATGTTTTTCTCACATATGTCGGGCACCTTAGTTTCTCCCTTGTGCTTGGAAACAGTGTAAATCCTTACACACTGGAGCTTTAAATAACTGTTTGGAACCAAAGAGGTCAAATTAGAAAACAAAACAAAACAACAAATCCAAGAAAAAATTCCATCCAAGATCCAAAAAATAAAAAAACGTGTGCAGCAGAACTTTGTTTTTTCTGTCCTGCCCCACTAATAATCTCACAGGGGTCTTAAGATGATCATGGGGCAGGATTTAGAACCAGTGGACCAAAACAAGGTTTATAAAACTAGCTCCACTTTCAACCAGCTACAACAGTAAAAAGCCTCTTTACACACTGATGCATCAGTATTAACAATCTGATAAATAAAACAGTCACAGGTACTTTTACTTTGATTCTTTAATTTACATTTCACTGATAAAACTTGTGTAACTTTTGTTGTATTTGGTGCTTTTTACTTAAATAAATGATCTGAACAGTTCTTCCGGCACTGGTGGTCTTTGACGTGAAAGGCAGCGGGAGTCGAGTTACCATGGCGACAACATACTACCATCAAATAAATACAATAAATAGGACATGTAGCCTCTCATAGAGCAATAAAATCATTACAAAATCAAGCAATATATATGAGATTTACACACAGATTAACAAAGACGATGAGTGGAGTTTCTTTCTTAAACTGTGATGGTTACTTGAGTTATGTAGATTTAAGAGGTTTTATAAACCTGAACTGGATTTAAAAACATGAGTTTTGAGGTTTATTTTTACATTGAAGCAGCAGATAAAGTGTCTTTAACTGTGCAGCAGCAGCAGCAGCAGCAGCAGCAGATGTTATGAAAACGTTGATGAGAAACATCCAATCAAAGTGCACAGGCTGGCTATTTAAACAACGAGTCCCGGTAGCCGTGAAAGAGTCACCTGAACATATCCCTCCGCGCAAGTGTAAACATAAAGACAGTCTACGAAGAGGAGAATTGTTTTATAGATTATGTTTTATGAAAAACACGGTGCGAGGGATTATTAGTAATGTTAATCCGCAATTTGATGCAATTAATTGATGGGCATTGATGAGAAAATGGCAGATTTTAATGGGTTACAGCCTCTGGAGCAGAGATTATAATCGATTATCCTACTTCAAATATGGACATGTTTGAGTTTTCTGTAAGCATAGAACATGTAGATATTTATTAATAACAGAGTCAGATGTTGATTTCTGCTGTAGCATATTGGTTACACCCCTGGAGAAGTGGGTATACTCTTAATTTATGCCCCTATTTTAATGTTTAAAGCGTCTGTGCAGCAGAGGATCAACGCCCTGTGTTATAATCAGTATTTATGGATGTTTATCTCACCTAAAAATGTGTTTTGCACTTCGTCATTGAATTTATGCTGCTTGACTTTAGCAGGAAAATAACATTAACCACAGAAGAATCAACACTGGCCTGCAGACTACAAATTAATAATATTTTTAATCATTTTTATTGTATATTATATGACTTAATTATCATTTTTTTGGAGGTGGCATGAAGGGAACTTTACTAAATATCTTCCTACATCCTTGTTGTGAATTATAATAAAACATACTCGAATCCTTTGACATAATAATGAATTTTAAGTAAAGTATTCCTCACTCCTCCCACAAAATTGGACAACTGCATCATGCCTTCGCCATCCTACAAAGAGAATCAGCTCACTACTGAATGATGCACATCAGAGGGGATTTATACACCCTGCACTAACACACATTTAAACACATTAAATTAACCTTAATCCGGGTTTATATTGTGTAGTTATTCAAATTTGAGCACAAAAAAAAATACACATCAATAAAATATCTTCACATAACATAAGGTGTTTTTTTTATTTTATTTATTTATTTGGTATCATTGAAAAAAACAACAACAACAACCACAATAAGCTCCTCATTAAATAGTCTATTAGACAGCAAACACTGAGGAATCACACTGCCACTAACAAGAACTGAGCGGTGTCTAGTTTTTTCAGCGGACGTGCTCACTGCCTTGGAACAGTCTCCTCACTGTGCATGGATGTGTGTGTGTGTGTGTGTGTGTGTGTGTGTGTGTGTGTGTGTGTGTGTGTAAAGCTGCCTCCTCTCGTGTTGATGACGACTGACGGTCTGACGGTGAACAAACGGGGATCGTTAGAAAGAAAGAGAAACGGAACACGGCGATACTTTTTTCTCTCTAACTAAAAAAAAGAAGAGGAAGGAGAGCAGTCACCGGTTCTCCCCCTCCTCCTCTTCTTCCTCCTCCTCCTCCTCCTCCTCCCCCCGGGTCCGAGCTCTTCCACCGGGTCGGTCCGAGAACGATGAGCCAGCCTCGGCCGGACGAGTTCAAGCCTCCCCCGGAGTGCCCGGTCTTCGAGCCCAGCTGGGAAGAATTCAGAGATCCGTATGCCTTCATCAACAAGATCCGTCCCATCGCCGAGAAAACGGGCATTTGCAAAGTGCGGCCGCCTCCGGTGAGTGCGACACAAAGACGACGAACGGATGCTGAGCAGCCGTTGAGACGGCAGTTAGGTTTAAAGGGACTCTCCAACATGGCGGACGCTCATTCTTTGTGCTGCCACCAGCGAGAGCTAGCTGTCGGTTGGCGGCGGCGTTAACGCTGTTTAACCCGAGTTATATGTTTTATTTTAACTTGTTTTTTTATTTTATTTTTTTATTTTCATTTAGTCTTTTCCGAGAGGTCGAGTTTTTGGGGGTTAAGTTAAGTTAGCAGCGCTGTGAGTGTGTCGGTGTGTTTAGAGCTGCTTTATTATAGTCGTGGTCAACCGTTTGTCAACACACACACACACACACACACACACACACACACACACACACACACACACAGAAAATAAATAATAAAAAATAAAAAATAAAAAAAGCCTCTCAGCGGTTCGGTCATTGAGCTCAGCATGCTAGGCTAACGGTAGCTCCACAACCTGTCAGTGTTTAAGCGGCTTTGAGTCAGGCAGCTATGCGGAAGCTGCTCGACTGCGTATAACGTGGTGATATAATCTATTATCTATAATCTATAATAAAAAAAAAGAGGAATGTGGTTGTTGTTGTTTTTTGTCTTTAAATGTCTCCTGCAGTGGATGTTAGTTATGGATTATTTTTCATGAAGAAGAGCATCATGATGCTGTTGGGTCACTCCACGGTTGGCTGGCCGGTTCTTCTGATGAATGTGTGATTAAATGTGGTTTTTATTTTATTTAATGGTTCATTTAATGGTCACCTCTCATGGTGGAGGGTCAGTGGAAAATCTGCCCCAATGGAGGGAGGAGGAGGGGGGGCAACAAGAAGTACCCTAATGTGTTTATTTAATTACAAATGTTTAATCACAAGTTGTTTTTGTTTTTTTTTGAAGTTGTGGTCCAACACACTATTACACAATATAAGAGTTGTGGTGGCACTTTTATTATTATTTTTGAAGTTTTGTTGAAGATGAGCCACTGTTCATGTGTGAGCCTGTGTTGTAGGGTGTTGTCCTCCATGTTGGCTTTGTGGTAAGCTGGGCTGGTGAGTCTTCCATCTGGCCATTTTGTGTGCCAGTGGGGGTTGTTGGCTACTGACTTGAAGCAAGAACTTGGGTCTCCGCTTGTTATGATGTGGGGTGGTGGTGGTGGTGGGGGGTTATTGTTATTGCATATGCAAGGCCGTGTGTGATATTGACACAGATATTGATTTGGTGTTCTGAGTTATGAACTGAAAAGGATCACTGTGTTCTTTCAGTATCAGCAGGCCTTTTGCTTTTTCTGTCAACTTTGAAGCCATCACTTTATCATTTGTGTAGTTTCACGCCTCTTTTATGTGCCTGATTTACAGATTAGTTAATTCACTATGGGTAAAGAATTAAGGATGGATAATTACTCAAATTTGAGTCCAATCATTGTAAAAACAGTTGTCACAAAAGGACCACGGTGCGAGGTTTTACTTCTCAATGCAACAATAAGATCATGGAAATTGCCAGCTACGTATAAAATCCAGGATACATTGTTATGATGACCTTCATGAAGCCGTCTTGTGTGTTTTTCTTACCGTGTAGGGTTGGCAGCCGCCGTTTGCTTGTGATGTTGACAAACTCCACTTTGTTCCTCGGATCCAGAGGCTCAATGAGCTGGAGGTGAGTTTTGTTAGTCAGATTGAAACCAGTGAGTATTTGACTATCTGTATGTGTGCCAGTAGTCAAAAAACTGTGCATTTAATTACGATGTCTGTCCCTTCTTTATATAATTACCAGGCCGATAATAACAAGGAACATTAATGTTATTAATGCCTCGTGATGATGTTATGTAACAACGGATAAATTACAAACTTAGACGACGTTACATAATTGTTACTTAATCCAAACATTTAAGTTATGAAACTGAAAGTGTATTTATTTGTTTGTGTATTTGAAACAACAGGACGCGCTGCTCTGTGTTCTTGGATACACACCAGCCTGCTCAGATGATTTCTGTATTATTTTCCCCAGTGATGGTTTTCTTGTCTTGGATTCCTCATGTCCTTTTTGATTTCCTCGTATTTAATTTATTTGTTGCTGACTGTGTTTATGTCTGATGTTGTTTCCCAGGCACAGACCAGAGTCAAGCTCAACTTCTTGGACCAGATTGCCAAATTTTGGGATTTGCAGGGATGTGCCCTGAAGATTCCCCATGTGGAGCGGAAGATATTGGATTTATACAAACTCAATAAGGTTGATAATTGACATCATGGCACATTATTGTGTGTGTGTGTGTGTGTGTGTGTATATATATATATATATATATATATATATATATATATATATATATATATATATATATATATATATATATATTTATTTATTTATTTATTTTAAACAACTCACACCATTAACTTCCCTCCCTGTTGTTCCAGCTGGTAGCAGATGAGGGTGGATTTGACATTGTCTGTCGGGACCGGCGATGGACCAAGATTGCACTACAAATGGGCTTCGCCCCGGGCAAAGCTGTCGGCTCACACCTGCGAGGACATTATGAGAAAATTCTTTATCCCTACAATCTGTTTCAGAGTGGCGCAAACCTGCTGGTGAGTTGGACACATACATCATTATGACAGCGTATCTTGTTCCTGGCGAAGCACACAAAGAGAAGCTGTCATACATACAACAGCGTGTGGCCTTGAATGTAAACAAATTCCTAATAATGTTTATCCATTCTGCTCATTACCATCAATTATTAATTGTTAGTCAGAGTTATAATTGTTAATTATTTTGCTAAAATGTTTTAGTTTCACTTTGAATGAGAAGCAACGAGTCCTATTAAAGATTTGATCAGAATATGAATTTACATTAATACCATAAAAATAAATGCAAACAAATACATTATTAGGATATGCATGTTTTGTTTTGGGCTACAGCTTCAATCTATGTTTTTATGTTGTATTTTATTTAATGTCTGACTAAAAATAATAAGAGTGAATTTATCATCTGGTGTCTAGTTATGTTGTTTAATAGCTTTTGCACATTAATATTCAGTAACATGTTGCAAGAGAGCTTATCCAAGGTCATTGGATTGGTACCGTGTGACCTATTGGACAGGTCACTCTAAATTGTTTAATTACCCAAGCTCTTTCTTGCCTCAGGCACCAGAGGCAGCTTCCAAACTGATGCGTTTGGAGGCTGATCCTGAACTTGAAAAGGTATGTTTGTGTCACGGTTTGAAGCCACGAAATTAACACAATGCATGTTTATCTGTGGCTGGACAGTATTCTGTATTTTCAGCTTATTGTTTTAATATTTGCAGACACTGTATTGTGAATTTAACTCACCAGTTTTACAGCAAAATGAATTGATCCTCTCCTCGACAAGTCAACCTACACACACTTCTTTGGCAGGCAGCAGGCAGACATTAGGTGCTAATTATGTATCAATTTAAATATTGTTGTAGATTTTCTTTTATCTTCTGTATTTTTTTTAAGTGCCACTATAATTAAAAAACTGCCAACTCACAGGCAATTCCTGGAAGTCTGATATTCATCACCTGTACACCTGTTGTCGTCTGATTTGGCCTGTTCCTTCTCAGTTTCTGTCCCCCCGCTTTGGGGTGACAAACTGAAACTAACCACATCCTTTTTATGGCCTCTTTCACCCTGTGGCTGTTTAAAATTGATGAACTGAAATGTAAATATCAAATACTGTCTTTGGCAGAGTGTCCCAGTCTTTCAACGACATTTGGTAGCTTATAATACTTCCTCGTTATTGTCGCATTTTGTTCCATATTTCTTTGTTACCTCAGGTAAAACGGAAGTAATAACCATTTGAGGGGATTCAAATGTAGGCTGTGGGACACTCAAACTTCCTCTTAGACCATTGATATCTTACTGCTCGCTGCATTTGAGCATACAGGTTTATCCAGTCATGCAGTTTTAATAGATAGTGACCTGTGGTTTTAACTGTCATACTATTTCCTTCAGTGTGTTCAGAAGCCAGTCCAGCCATTGGAGCTTCCAGGAAGCATTGAGAGCCATGACACCAAGGAGCACAAGCTGCAGGAACAGGCTCAGAAGCAGCTGGCCCAGATGCCGGACATGTGCCCCACTGCTCGCAGAGCCAAACGCATGAAGTGTGAGGTGGGTGTTGGAAGAGTGCCACACACACCTGGGAGAAAAAAAACTGAAACAAGCAGTACTTCATTCTTTGCTGTTCTCCCCATGTTGCAACACCCTTCTGTAGGCTTTCTGTGTGAAGACTGAACCAGGTGAGCCGGGTGAGAGCAAGCCAAACCTGAGGCGGAGGATGGGTTCTTTTGTCGCCAAGCAAGAACCAGGTCCGTCTTCATATATTAATTACATTTACAGTATTTACAGTAACTTTTTTTACTTGAACTCGACCTATTTAGCTTTTCTAAGCATATTTCATAAATTGTATATAAAGTAGTTATAAGCAAGATATGTGTTCATTAATGTATTTTTAACTATAACTTCTCCTGTGGACACATGTTGACTTGTAGAAAAAGAAAGTAAAAATAATATATTCATAGAAGAGGTTATAAATGTTGATACTGTACATTAATAAACACAAAAAATGTCCTCATAGCCACATACAACTAAATATAGAGCCTTTATAAACTATTTATTTCATGTTTTTGTATACTGCTCATGAATGCTTAAGTCCTCTGCTTGGTGCTGCTGTGCCTTGGGTGGTAGAGCTGGTCTAGTAATTGGAGGGTTTCTTAGGTCAGTCCCTCCTAGTCTGGTCAAATGCCCTTGGGCAAGATACTAAACCCCAAATTGCTCCCGATGGCTTTGTGTGTGTGTGTGTGTGTGTGTATGTGTGTGTGTGTGTGTGAGTGTGAGTGTGTGTGTGTGTGTGTGTGTGTGTGTGTGTGTGTGAGTGAGCTTAGTATCAAGTGCTGTTTCGCTCCTGATGAGCAGGTTGGCACCTTGCATGGCAGCCTGTGTGATTGAATGGGTGAATGTAAGTGTTGTAAAGCCAGTGAGTGCTTTATGAATACAAGTCCATTTACCATCCATTTACGGTTGGTTAATGGTGTTAGTATCATTTCCTGTTGTCTTACAGAAAAAGAGATTCCCATTCCAGTGAAACAGGAACCAGTTGAAAGTAAGGAGCCGATAATTGAAGCTGACAAATCCAAGTCACGGTACAAGAAATTCATCCCTCCCGTTCCTCCGAGTCCAGTAAGTGCAAATGTGTTTGGACGAGATGTACCTGCATGAGTTCTCAAATCTCTTGATCAAAAATTAAAAAAAGCTGTTAGTCAGTTTAATGCATGATCAGAAGTCCTACTCCGCTTTAATTACTTAACATTAAACTTGTGCTATAAAATATCTTTTGTCTGTCCATTGTTTTAAAGTTTGTTTATAGGCACTACATTAATGCTGTGCATTGCTAATGTAGTTTGTAGTCTTCCTTGGGTCTACAAGTACACTTGCATAACGCATAACAAGATTAACTTTACATTAATGAGTGTATGTAATTGCATGAATGATGAATATTTACAGAAGGAATGTAAAGAGTTAACTAACTCCAACAAAATTGGACATTTAAACCCCTTTTTATCACATTCGTCTTGCATGAATTAGATTGCTATCCCATCTCAATAAAGCAAAGTGTGAATGCCTCCAAGAAGCATTCAAGACGGAGATTTTTTGAGATGCGTTGTAGCCAGATGTTGTAGCCAGATGTTAAAGAGTTATAAATGCATCTGTCTCTCCTCCTTACGTGTATCTATGTCAGTAAGCAATCTGTAGAAAATTGTCATTCACAGATTCTTAATACATCCATCGTCTGTCTCCTCTGTTTTTGTGATGAAGGCAGATAAAGTTACACAAACGTGACACTGAAATTAGCTGTTTGTTCTCTGTCTCATTAAAGCAACAAGGAAAAACGGCTCCAGGGATTTCAACAGATACGATCAAATACAAGGTGATCTGGCCAACAGAGATGCATATATGTGTTTAAAAAGTTCAAATGGGGGGAAAAAAAAATGAAATTGTCTTTTTAATCTCATCAGGGTTTTATTTGGATAAGAGACACTTGAAATTACGGTTTAAATGGAGCCTTTCATTAGACAACGTCTCTGAATATGTCTCACTTGCACTTTGACACTCTTTTGTATTGGTAATATATTTGGTGAGAGTTGATAACAGCTTGTAGTTTGAAAAAGCCCCGTATTAGCAGAGTGTTATACAGTTAGCTTGTGTTACTTTACAATTCCTGTCTTGAAGCTACATTTGTCAGTAGTCATGGCTCTGAATTCATTACAAACTGCTCCTTGTGTTCCCCAGGTGGATCTGGTTGTGTGTCTGGTGTGTGGCAGTGGGGGAGAAGAAGACCGTCTGTTGCTGTGTGACGGCTGTGACGACAGCTACCACACCTTCTGCCTGATCCCTCCTCTGCACGATGTCCCCAAAGGAGACTGGAGGTGCCCCAAGTGTCTGGCTCAGGTGAGGATGAACTGCAAAGTCTGATTAAAGCGATGCAAATTGACTCCTGTGTAAGCTATTAAAACAAGAACAACAAGTCTGTCCACTGCTCAATGCTTTTTTTAATTCTTATCCGCAGGAATGCAACAAACCTCACGAGGCATTCGGCTTTGAACAAGCGTACAGAGACTATTCCCTGCGTGCATTTGGTCAAATGGCTGATGCATTCAAATCTGATTACTTCAACATGCCAGTTCACGTAAGTAGAGCTTTGTCAAAATAATTCTGTCTCTCTCTCTCTCTCTCTCTCTCGCTCTCTCTTGCTGTATTTTAAATGTGAGTGTCTTTTTCCATGTATTCATTACAGATGGTACCCACAGAGCTGGTGGAGAAAGAGTTCTGGCGTTTGGTGGGAGCCATCGAGGAGGACGTCACCGTAGAATATGGAGCGGATATTGCCTCAAAGGAGTTTGGGAGCGGATTCCCTATTCCGAATGGGAAATTTAAGGTTTCCCCAGCTGATGAGGTATGCCCACGAAACGAGCCACACAAGATCCAAAATGTGTCTGCTGGTCTTGTTTGTCATGTCAGGTGACTGTAACACACCTATAACCTAACAATGGGGTTGTTACGAGGGTAGATTGTGCTGCAGAAAACTGTGTAATCCTTTTTAATGTGGATTTTCAGTCCACATCACTTCACGTCACTACTGAAAGATACAGCAACCAGCAAGGGAAGAGTACAAGATTTTAGCAAAAACCTCAATGAACTTAAAATAGATAATTATTTTAAATTGGTTAATCCGTCCATCTGCTTGTCCAGGTCCAGGTTGCATTCATTTAATTACATCATTAGGAATTCTTGGTTATAAACTACTGGGAAGTATTAAAAATGTGATGTAATAGTACAGAATTCTAGGCTGTATCGTTCCTATTGGTTTTCTATAATTTCATATTATGATTATGAAACGGTTATTAAATTGTATTCTATCTGATATTAAAAGGGTCTTTAAAAAGGGTCTTGGTGAATACAGTCTGACTATATCAGACAGTGTGATATCAGATAGGATTAAGTGGTATAAACAGTATATTGCACAGTAACTCCTGTGTTATTAAACTCTATATGTCGTCTGTCTTTCAGAAATACCTCAAGTGTGGCTGGAACCTGAACAACCTGGCGATGATGAACCCGTCTGTACTGACTCATGTGACAGCTGACATCTGTGGGATGACGCTGCCGTGGCTTTATGTTGGCATGTGCTTCTCCTCCTTCTGCTGGCACATCGAGGATCATTGGAGCTACTCCATCAACTACCTGCACTGGTACTTAAGAACAAAAGTCTGCTGTTGCTAAAGCTCTTGCTACCTTTAAGGGCTTTCCTTAATTAGAGTATTTATGGTGGCATGTGATGGTTAACATTAAGTCTAGACTTTATTAATGTTTTATTTCTATCTAAAATCTTACGATTATCTTATTCACTACAAGGGGGGAACCCAAAACCTGGTACGGAGCTCCTGGATTTGCTGCAGAACAGCTGGAGGAGGTGATGAGGAAACTGGCCCCGGAGCTGTTTGAGTCTCAGCCTGACCTGCTGCACCAGTTGGTCACCATCATGAACCCCAACACCCTGATGGCCCACGGAGTCCCAGTGTGTATTTATGCCTCTTCTTTCACATGCTCTGATGCTTTCTGTCTATAATCTACAGCAAAGCACAGCTGACATTTACATGAACGAGCAGCTGGTCTTTTTAACAGGAACATAAATCATCTTCTTTTGTCTCTGCCGTCCTTCAGATTTACAGGACAAACCAGTGCGCTGGCGAGTTTGTCATCACGTTTCCCAGAGCCTACCACAGCGGCTTCAATCAGGGCTTCAACTTCGCTGAGGCGGTCAACTTCTGCACTGTGGACTGGGTATGTGTCACTTTATTTGTGTAACCACACAAATAATAATTGCATAAAATGACAGGCCTTGTACAAATCATTTTCAATTATTCTTTCATTTTTAATTGATTTTACAAGGGTATTACACAAAGAAACTCACATTTGAGAAGCTGGAGCCAGTGAATTTTTGCTCCAAAAAGTATTAAACACAACAATAACTGTCTTTTCAACCCATTTCTTTCCTTTCTATTACTCCAGATGCCTCTCGGCAGGCAGTGCATTGACCACTATCGTATGCTGCACCGGTATAATGTGTTCTCCCACGATGAGATGGTGTGCAACATGGCCTCGAAAGCAGACACACTCGATGTGGTCCTGGCATCAGCTGTCCACAAGGACATGGTCACCATGATTCGAGAAGAGCAGAAATTGAGAGATAAAGTGAAGAAAATGGTAGGATAGTCCTCATTATCATGTCAATACACTAATTCACTGTATATTGTGAAGATTTTCTTTAGTGCGGATACTGTTATCTTGCACCTGGACTAAATACACACAGGATGTGCACCTTTCTACAAAATTACATTTATTCTCAGTGTGTAAAAACATATAATAATGTGTCACTTTTATTGTGTATACATTGTGTTTAATTGTTGTAAAGAAACAGTGTTAAGTGTTCATGCCACAAACTTGAATTGGCTTTTAACACCTTTGTTGTTGTCCCACACCTTAAGGGGGTGTTTCACTGCAAAGAGGCAAAATATGATCACCTCCAGGATGACGAGCGACAGTGTGCCAAGTGCAGGACCACCTGCTACCTGTCTGCTGTCACCTGTTCCTGTAACTCAGGAGCCCTGGTCTGTCTGTACCACATCAACGACCTCTGCTCCTGCTCCGTCACCAACTACACACTGAAGTGAGTCCCTCTGGAACTGATTCAGGGACTGTAAACATGCTTTGTGCACAGAGATCAGAGTACACAGTATCTGTGAGATGTATTCATGTAATGAATATTATACTGTATGTCTGTAAAGATACATTTTATCACTGAATATTCTGAGGCAGATCTGTGTGTCCTCTTATTACTGCATACCTCCCATTAATTCAGTGTTCTGCTTGCTCCTGCAGTTACAGATACACACTGGACGACCTCTATCCCATGATGAGTGCTGTAAAGCAGCGAGCTGAACTGTATGATGATTGGGCCTCCCTCGTGACTGAGACTCTAGAGGCTAAACTGGAAAAGAAGAAAGGTAAACAGCAAGAGCAAATAAGAAGACAAAGCATTAAAGGATCATACCAGTGTTAACATAAAACTAAACGCTATCTTCTTACACACCCCGTCATTTTCCAACCGCATGCAGCCATAGTTTAGCTTTATATCTGGTTTAAGTTGTTCTTATTAGACATTATGTTACTCTCCAAAACAAAACAAAATTGCTTTGAGGAATGAACTACTTTGTCAGCTGTATTGTGTACTAACAAGAGAACGCTGAAACTGGGTCAGCTTTTCACTCATGTAGGTTCATCCCCTGCATCGCTGCCTTGCTCAGACTCCTCCAACAGCGCCTCCAAAATGTCCCAGTCACAGCAGCAAAACCACATTTTGTGGATTGTTGATTGCTGTCTGTTAGAGGCTTGTGTTCTGGTTGATCCCGTGATATGAAGACAGTTTCATCTCTTTTCCTGTCTCACTTTGTTCAGCACCATTTCCTCCACTGTATACTCAAACTCATACGATACACTTCTGTAGAAAGTGTAATCATCTCATCAGAGTTCCTCATCCTGATATTCGCTGTCTGACCTTTTTTGTGAAAGCATTTAAAAATATACAGTGCCGCTTTACTGCTATAGTCCTTTTCATAAGTGAATGTTTGAAAACAACGCAGTCACTGAGGGCAAAAATGATGAAAAACAAGTAGACACAATGTTAGGTTAATTAAAACGTGAATGTTTCATTATGTGTCTCATTAACTGGGTGTTCTCTCCTCAGGCCTCCCAGTGTTTCGCTCTCTTCTTGCTGAATCTGAGTCTAGGCGGTTCCCTGACAATGACCTGCTGCGTCGGCTACGTCTGGTCACACAAGATGCGGAGAAGTGCGCCTCGGTGGCACAGCAGCTATTAAATGGCAAAAGGCAGACTAGGTAGGATTAATAAACTCTACTACATCAGGTTTATAGATTATCTGTCTTCACATTCCATCACGTTTCCTCAGGAAAAAGTAGGATACAGTATTGGTTCCTTAATGGGTTTCGTTCTTTAATTTGTTGGACGATCTCTCCTAGGTATCGGTGTGGTAATGGGAAATCATGCAGCCAGCTGACTGTGGAGGAGCTGAGCTCATTTGTGAGGCAGCTTTATAACCTCTCCTGCAGTCTCCCTCAGGCCCCCATGTTGAAGGTAGGATGTGGAAGAGAAATGCATCCTCTGATTTTACCACAGGAAAAATTCAAGCTGCACATACTGTGCGTTTTTATTAATACTGTGTTAATTCACTCTACATGTTTTATTCTGCCTTTCTGCATGGACAGAACCTGCAACTTTTATGTTCACATTGTACCTCCAGTTGGTTTGATCCAGTCACTGTTCAAATACTTTGAAAGGTTTATTCAGTCAAGGTGGCTGAGTCCTTAAAAATAAAAATAAAACTAAATCAAGGCTATGAAGCCCCAGATGGCTTGACCACACAGACAATATGGTGTCTGTTGAGGTGCAAAGTTCACTGTTATATCACAGTAGCCTCAAGACTAAATTTAGCTGCAATATGTAAAATAATCCAGTAATATTTAAACCAAGCTCACCACAGTTCATAACAGACCTTTTGACAGCAGTCGTTAAGGAAATCAGACTGTGGAACTGCTCATACGACAAAAATGTCCTCACATGCCAGAAATCCAACCGGTCATCCAAGAACCAGATAATTGATTATTCAGGTAATTTATCAGGCGACAGCTGATCTGGCAGAAATTTGGACCAGGAGGAACAAAAAATAAACAAGGACAGAATTAGACATTTATAACACAGTATAATTTGGAAGCTATTCACTTTATTTAGCCGAGCAGGGCTGCTGAAGCCTCATGTTACCTTTAGATAATGAAAAAATTTAATCTGTCCAGTCTCCGCCTGGCTTTAGACGACTACATTTGCTGTGGGATTTAATGAATGTGACTCTGATTATCATTAATTTTGACTCCTTGTATGTTTTGTCTTTTTTTAGGAGCTCTTGAATCGCATCGAAGACTTCCAGCAGCACAGCGAGAAGGTCCTGGCAGATGAAGTTCCCAGCGTTGCTGAGATCCAGAGCCTATTAGACGTCAGCTTTGACTTTGACGTGGAGCTGCCTGAGCTGCCACGCCTGAGAGTGAGGCTGGAACAGGCACGCTGGCTGGAGGGGGTACAGCAGGCCAGCACTCAGCCTGCCTCCCTCACTCTGGAGACCATGAGGAGGCTCATCGACCAGGGAGTCGGCCTGGCACCTCATCCGTCCGTGGAGAAAGCCATGGCACGCCTGCAGGAGCTGCTCACTGTGTCCGAGCACTGGGAGGACAAGGCGAGCAGTCTCCTTAAAGCCAGGTGAGGGCAGCGCTACCTGATCCATGATGAGCATCAGCACAGAGTGGAAAAACCATCCAAAACATCAACAAGAGGATGCTGTGATAGGTTGTCATGCTCTGTCCACAGTGGCTTTAATCCAAAAACAAGTTATTTCTGTATTATGTATCATAGCTGTAACCTTCTGTCCAGGTATTTGCACTGATTGTAAGTGAATAATGTAATCTATTACGTCAGTGCTCCTGATTTTGCTTCATTTTAATTACAGCTAGTGCAAAATGCTGCCCGCTAGAATATTCAACAAGATCAACAAAAAGTGAGCATCATATTTAGTTCTGCCCTCATTCCATTGGTACTCAGTGCTGTTCAGTATTAACTGTCACAAGTGCTTTTCAAAAGCTTTAATGGCATGGCTGTCAGGAATGTGCATCTTTTCTCTCCATTACCAGAAGAAAAAAAATAAAAACTAATTTCAAGTCAGGGCTTAAATTTCTACATTTTTCAAAATGATTATGTTCCTTAGTTTACTGCAGCTTGGAATTTTGGGTTTCACAGTACTACAAATATTGTTTTGTAAATGATTGAAGATGTTTCACAGAAGTTCTTTTCTATGTTTCCATGTTTTGTTATTTTTTTTAAGTAACTGTAGGCTTTGAATTACGCTATAAAAACTACGTGTGCAGGGTATTTTTGGAATATTTTTGAAAGTGTTTGATGGAAAATCAATTTCAGAAAAGCTTCCTGTGAAGATGTTGGAAGAAAATGCCTTGACATTTCTTGTTCTATTGAGTTACTGTGTGTATGTTTATTACCTACAGTACATCATTTGTGTTTTACTGCCCACCACAGACCCCCACACTCCATAGAGACTCTTAGTGCTGCTGCTGAGAAGGCATCTGGCATCCCTGCTTACCTCCCAAGCTGTCTTCTCCTGAAGGACACCATCAGAAAAGCCCGCGAGTGGCTTCAAGAAGCAGAGGAGCTTCAGGTTAGAAAACACTTAACATTTCAGGAGTTTTTCTCAGTTTGGGTTGATTTGAGTTGGATTATAACACAGAAATAATCTGCTTTTCTCAGGCCAGTGACGGCGAACCGATGATGGACAGCCTCTCGGACATGGTGCTGCGAGGACAAGCCATCCAAGTCCACCTGGAGCCTTTGGACAGGCTGGAGTCTTTAATGGTAGAAGTGCAAGAATGGAAGGAATCTGCAGCTACAACTTTCCTTCAGAAAGACTCAACTCTCACTTTACTGGAGGTAAAAGCACACACATTACTTAAAATGAATGATGAGTTTGTAAGGTCATCAGGGTTCAGCTCACTTTCTCCATATGGCCACTGGATCTGATTGCATTACAGCTATTTTTGGGTTTCAACATCCAGTAGAAATGCTTGAGGCAGAGCATCTGTCCTCATACATTACATTTTTCTTGTTCTTCAAGAGTATTGAATACAGATTTGCGGCTCATTTTAGATGTGGGTACTGATGCTTCATGACTGTCCTTTACACATACTATATGTAATTTCTGCCACTAGAGGGTCTCTCACATCAATATAATAACGATTATATATATTATTATATATTATATTATAATAAAGATTAAGTTTGATGACGTTGTGAAGTAGTGAGGGATCATGGGTGTTGTTGTCTTTTGCCACCATTGCAGTCAGCTTCTCCCGGTTAGGATTCCTTCAGTGTTCAGGAGGTTTCTAGGTCTCCTCCTCTCCAAAACAAACAGGCCCGGTGTTTAAAGCTGTTTCACCTTTAAAAATGAGTGTTTATCTTCCAAACTCTGGTTAGCTCAGGTTGTTTCTCTGATGACTTAATATTCCGACGTCCAATGACTAAGATCCTTCATCCGGTTAACAACGACCAAGATCTAAAGAGTGTGTCCTAAAAATGTTCCTTAAAACTGGATAAAATGTAAATTTATGATTTCTGGAAGATAATGCATGTGTAAAGGGGGATATGACGACATAGACAGCGCTGTTACCTGAATAAAATGAACTTGAACATTGTTGGAAACATTTGGGATAATATATGGACACTACTCCTAAATGTTACGTATTATATCTTTAAGAAGACTCTCCGTGATTGCTCAAATGTCTGCAAAACACAATCTTTATTAATGTTAATTTGGTTAATTGTTTAACATGAAGTATTTATAAGCCACAATTTAATTACTTTTTCTACTCGTTCCTTTTTGAAAATATTAAATGATAGCCAGAAAATCAGTTTTAAGATTTAAGGTTTCAAGACTTTTTTTTTTCTTCTTTCTCTCTTGCTCACAATTACAAATTCAAGAATAACTTTGTTGTATATATCTGAAGACAAAGTCAGTAACGACATTAGTTTTAAGTCAATTTCCAGTAAATACAGACATTTATATACATTTACAAGTGAGTTTCTTGCTGCAGATGTGAGCTGCTCTGGAAAAAAATCTGGAAAAAGAGCATGTAAACCAGCCTGACAGCTAATTTCTTTATCGCAGGTCCTGTGTCCAAGATGTGAAGTTGGAAATGTGGGTTCTCCAAAGAGGAAGCCCAAGAAAGGGAAAGAATCGCCTAAAAATAACAAAAAGAAAACACCAAGGCTCAACACTCTCAGTGACGTGGAAAAAGCGCTTTCAGAGACCAAGGATTCTACCTCTGCAGTAAGTGTCGTCATTGCCTACAAAGATAAATATGCAGCGCACTGTGGTAGTCGGTGAGATTAATGAACCCTCACCAATCGGAAGATGTTCTGACATGTTCTGTGTTTTTATTCACCAGATGGCAACTCTGGAGGAGCTCCGGGTGAGGGAGATGGAGGCTTTCTCTAATCTCAGGGCAGCAAATGAGTCAAAGCTCCTTCCCACAGCAGACTGCATGGATCTGAGGGTGTGTGTTTGTCAGAAGGCGCCCATGGGTGCGATGCTACAGTGTGAACTCTGCAGGGATGCCTTCCACAGTGTGTGTGTCAGAGACCCGTCAGACTCCTGCGAAACACAGCTGTGGCTCTGCCCGCAGTGCCAGCGTTCAGAAAAGCCCCCCTTGAACAAAGTCCTGTCTCTGCTCGCATCTCTGCGGCACATAGGAGTGCGCCTGCCGGAGGGCGATGCACTGCACTATCTGGTTGAGAGGACAGTTAACTGGCAGAACCGAGCGCAGCAGATTTCACAGTCTTGTAACCTACCAGAACTGGAAGAGAGACCAGGAACTCCTCCCACCTTAACGAGCTGGGTATCCGGCAGCCACGATGCTCACAACAACACTCAGGTCACTCTTCATCTCCTTGTGCCACTTTTTTTGTAGCGGTTAAAAAAAAGTATTATTTTTTTGTTAAGTTTGGGATTTAATGTTTTTGATACAGGCTCCTTGTTTGACTCCAGAGTGGAATAGGACAAGCCATGCTCAGACTGTCTTCTACACCGAGCAGAGATGCATCCCACTGCAGGGTCAGTGTCGTCTTACTCCAGACTGCAGAAGAAACTGTTTCTATACATTGTTTGTTGTGGTTAATTGTTCATTACAGAGTGTTGTTGTTTATGTTCTGGTTGTTTCTCTGTGTGACAGGCTTGAGTCGGGATCTAGAGGAGCTGATGGTGGAGGGGCTCCTGCTGCAGGTGTCTCTGCCAGAGGTCCAGAGCCTCTTCCACATTTTATTGGACAGAGCCAGCAGCCAGCACACAAACAGATGCATGTCGCCAACACAGGATGAGTCCACAGACTGTGACCAACACATGCAGTTTAACTCTCAGGGAAACAATCTGCCTCTGAATCAGGTACGGAAGGAACTGATCAAATCCCTCCTCAGAACTCAAAATCAGTTTTAATTTGTGGCGATTTTATTTTCAGGATGGCGCCAACGGTGTGAGGGAAACGATGACTGGCTCAGAAAAGAAATCAAAGCGGCACCTGGAGAGGGAAGGCTCAGACGCAGAGCGCAGGGTGAAGGACAAAAAGCACTCTCACAAAAGACAGAAGATGAATAAAAAGAACCTGCAGCGCAGGCCGACCTCAACCTCGACCTCGTCCTCGCCGCGGTCTGATTTCTCTCAGTCCGATGACTCTGATGAGGAAATGGCTGTGTGTCCGGCAGAGAGGTGTCAGCTGCCAGAAGGAGATGAGGTGAGGAAAAATGTCTGAAATACACTTCCTCCTCTCTGCAGAGGTCAGTTTACCGTGTCAGTGCAGGAAGCCGTTATGTAAATATAGAACGTACACAATAATAAGTATCGTGTAACAAAATGAGAGAAAGACTTTTGCAACTGGACTCCATCAAGGTGAAGCGTCTTCATTAAAGGTAAGGCACAAACATAAAAGATGGGCAGGTCAAGGAACACCTCAGTTCAGTTTCTCTGAACATCCTGTAAACGATTCTGGTTCTGGAGGAAGTTTACACAACAGAAGATCTGAAGGACAGAATGTGAAGATTATAATGACGTTTTCACAGCAGCATACAAGGACTTCACTGTTCACTCTCGCTGCTCTCATAATGTAGTTTTCAGCCGCAGCAGGCAGCTGTCTTTAGCAAAAAAGCTCTAAAACCCCTCTCTACCAGCTCAGCAACAAAGTCAGTGACTAGCTGTTGAACATTGTATTTAACAGCTAAACAGCCAGATATTTCAAAAGTGACCAAAAACAAAGCTAAACAATCAGTACTGGACTTTAAATAAATGACTATGTTGCTGCTAAACTGCTGGATGTATAAATAAGCAACATACAATATATGATTTCTGCTGCTAGAGCGTCTTTAAAGTTAAAAGAAATAACAAAAAAAATTCCATCATGCAGTATAGTGAGGGATCATGGGAGTTAGCTTCTGCTGGTTAGGATTCCTTCAGGGTTCATCGTTTAGGAGGTTTTTACCAGGAGCTGAATTATCCTCAGAGGGCTCCTGCTCTCCAAAACAAACAGATCTGGTAATTAAAACCCATAAAAACACTGAATAAAGCAGGTTCACTTTAAACATCTGTTTTTCCAACGCTGTTCAGCAGATAAAGGACATCCCAGAGGGGCTGCTGCTGCTAACGTTAGCTCAGCTGGTTTCACTGATAACTTAAAGAGAGTAAAGATCCAAACGTCTGACGACTAAAATCCTTCATCCAGTTAAAATCTAGAGTTAAAAACGACCAAGATCTAAAAATGTGCCAACGCTGACACATCCACTAAAGGGGATACGAGGTGAGCGGTGAAATGTGGCGTTACCTGAATAAAGTTAGAGATTTCTCAGAGTTTGAACATTGTTGGAAACATTTGAGATAATATAAAGTACACAACTCAACAATAAACTCCAAATACATAACATAGGTCTGGTGCTGATTGACATTTTAATACAGAAATGTTACATATTAAGTTCTTCATATGAACTGGTGGCCAAAAATAAAGTTATGTTGATGTATTCCCTCTTGATGACCAACAACCTGTCTGTCTGTCTGTCTGTCTGTCTGTAGGTGGATTGGGTCCAGTGTGACGGCAGCTGTAACCAGTGGTTCCACCAGGTCTGCGTCGGTGTTACGGCCGAGATGGCGGAGAAGGAGGACTACATTTGTGTCAGTTGTACACTGAACGATGGACACATGAGGAAATGAAGAGAGGGATTTTTCTGAAGGATGGTCGTCTGTCCGTTTAATGGAGCCACCAGTCTGGATGTGTCACTGATCCTGTCCCTCCCCCCTTCCTCTCCCCTCCCTCACCCCCGTCCCGTCTGTCCGACCCTTTTGTAACAACGGTGCTATCTCCTCTTTGACTTGTTGTCCAGAACTATAATGTTTAGTTATTTTTTTGTATTTTTACATATATATATATTATATATATTTCTTTCTTATGAATTGTTTGTGGTTGTCTAAATGAAAAAAACAAACAAACAAACAAAAAAAAAAACACAGGATGTGAAGTGTGCTGCATGGGATTCCATTACATCGACGCAAAGGAGTCTTACAACATGGTGCACCCGGTGAAAAGAGGGTTAATCGAGGGTTAATATTATGTTCTCTGGAACCTCCTTGCATGTTAAACCAGAGCTAAGGGGACAGACGTTTTCATCCACTATCCCCTGAAAAAAATGACTTTGTTTCTTTGAAAATCCAGTGTTTAGTACATGCATCTTAATATAATTATTCCCTTCTTTTTTTTTTTTTTTTTTTGTAGAATAGGTTTATTTATCTGAGCAATAATTTTTGTCTGAATTGACTTAAATGGCTTGATCTCAGCTGAGTTGTGTTGGTGCTTTTAGCGATGGTGTGATGTACAGAAAGCTACACAGATGGATGGATTACAGCTTGTAACCTGGCAGAAGATACTGTGGGGGGAGGGTGGGGAGAGGGTGGGGGAGGGAGGGGAGGGGGGAGGATTTTTTGGGGGGGCGGTAGCTGAAGATGTTACAAGTTTATATTGTGGAATAAAGCCCTTTTGTTCTATGGAGAAGCTTCGTCCTTTCACTTGAATATGGAGGAAAGAAACCACTAGATGTCCTCGTAAACTATGATATAAAAGCTCATTCATTCCTCTTTGTATCTGTAGAGTAGAGTCACCCCAGTTAGGTTGTATTAGTTGGTAATGGTAACTTAGAGTTGTCCATAAAGGGAGATTATCTCACTTTGATTTCTTCCTGTGGGTGTCAGATTGACGGTAGCCAGAGATTAATGTAAATTTACAAAAGCAGTTTGAGTCTTCAGGTTCAATGTGATGGATAATCTTCCATATGAGAAAATTTCAGAGTACTTGACAAGACTTAAGATCAAGAAGCCTTTATTTGTCCCCGAGGGGCAATTGGTTCTGTTGCAGTAGCAATAAAACAGAAAAGCAACACTTTATATGGATAAAAAGAGTGACCCATACACAAGTACACACATTAAATACGTGGAACTGTAAAACAGGTGTGGTTGCAGATGTGCTGATGTTTCCTATACGGCATGAAAGAGAATTTCTATGTTAGTTTTGGTGGTTTTCTGAGTGCAGGTAGAGTCCGACAGGACAGATTCTGCCTTCAGCAGCTTTGTTCTGATGTCTCCTGTGTCCCCCAAGGATTTTGCTGCCTGCTTAATTATTCATGACTTAAAAAGCTTCTTTTGCTGACTGTGGGGTCACAAACTGCACAAACTTTTCTATTTTCCACTCTTAACTTCAAATTAAAATCTATATTTTTGAACAGCTAAAGCTCAGCAGGTTTTTATGGTGTGTTATTTTGGGCTTCAGGCAGTCTGAATGCTCCACGCTGACCAGTAAACCAGAGTCCTGACGAAGAGGAAGCCAATGATCCGTTGGTGTGTGACCATGAAGCATCAAAGGCAGGTGTGATAACTCTTTAACAGTGACGACGATACACTCACTGACGACTCCAGTAACATATTTTATAGATAATGATAATTTGAGGGAACTTTATTTGAACTTTTATGTTTTTTAACCATCATACATGCTTAACTGGCTTCTGTTTTGACATATTCAGCTTTTCTAATGCAGAATGAGGCTGTTGTGCAAAGAGTTGACGGCTATTTAAATTGTAGCTTGTGTCTTCAAAGTTTAAATCTTAAATAATAATCTACATTTTAAAATTTAATTCTTGTTCTCCCACTCTTAAAATCAAGAAGTGCAAAGTCTCCAAGTTGGGAGCCACTGGTCTATAAGTAATGCTTTATCAGGCGTGTTTTGGAGTTGAACATAATCCTCATGATCTTATTATTTGAGTTGAGATCAAACGTACAGGTCTCTGACTCTCTTCAGTTTTCTTTTTTTACCCGACGAGCATTCAGATCTCATAACACCAACGCAAACACTGAACAACGGAGGCAGCAGCTGAGAAAGACTCTGAGTAAAGAAAGGGAAATGTCAGAGAGAATAAAATCAGTCAAATAAAAGCCTCCGACAGATCCAAACAGCCACCAAATAGACAGAAACAATGTCAGTAAAGCTGGCATGTAATGTGATCAATTCAGAGCACAGCGGTGATTATTAAGGGAGTTTTTTACTCATTATAATTCCAATAAAATAATCCATAAACCCTGTTAGAAACAAACAAAACTACATTCATATTAAAGTGCACACATTTCTTTTTGCTTGGATGAACTTTTCTTTGTCTAACAGCAGAGAGAGAGAGAGAGAGAGAGATAGAAGCTCAGGGAATGAAACATCGAATGTGAAGACAAATTAAATTCCTTTACGGGAAGCTGCCAAACCACAGAGCCTTTTAAGGACTCGACATACACAGACTTCTCCTCCAGTGTATAATATTATTACTCTGCAGCTGCTCGTCTTCAGTGCACTCACACACACAATATAGTCACAGAACATTTCACTGTCCTAATGGTTAAACAGTCCTTATACGTTTGTATGTTGCTGTATGTCTGAACTGGATTTAATGTTAATTTGTGGCTGCCTTTAAGACACTCAGCTCCTAATCTACTTCGCACTGAAGGGGGAGCCAAAACCCAGCAAAGAAGATGAAGAAGTCAGAATATGATGAACATGGAGGAAGGTTATGACAGCTGAGACCTTAATAATGCTGCTTCACACTAAACAGACGGATAAAATGATGAAAACATGATCTAAATACAGAATACAAAGGTAAACAATGCTGAAGCAGTAGTAGGAAGAAGATTTAAATAGGCCTTTTTCATGAGGACACACTACACATTTACAGATTCCTCTACACATTACAAATCCTCAGTTAACAACTGTGGATACAGATTTGGAGATTATTTCACACATTAGATTGACATACAGTAACACAACTCTCCACTACACAATAATAAAACCTTCCCTCTCCCCCAACAAACAGCAGCGTGCACTACATGTGCTAATAAAATGACAAATAGCTTCAGCTGAGCTCACTTTGTGCTGTCAGACATCCTGTGGAGCAGCAGCCAGGTGGAAAAATAACTAAGTGCATTTTCTCAAGTACTTAAGAGCCACTTTAAAGGTGCTTTTATTTGAGTATTTCCATTTTCCTCTCCACAATGTATTTAACAGCTATAGATACTGGATACTTTTCAGATTAAGGGTTTACATTAAAAAGAAGAAGGAGATTTATTTTATTAATCCCACTTGACACACACACACACACACACACACACACACACACACACACACACACACACACACTCATAGGCCCAAAATAAACACACATACAGGACTATATGCAGTTATTTAGAGAGATGCTAGAGTGACGAGGCACATAGTCACCATCCTACCGGTCCACACTGCGTACTGGACTTGAACCCATCACGCTCTGGTTGTCAAGCCAACTCCCTACAGACTGAAGCTTATAAGATACTATGTAAAGGCAGAAATTAAACCAGAGATTTTCCAATCTTTTTGGCTGTCTTGTTGGGTCCACTTGTGACGTTTTAGATGTCTATATGAAACATTTCTCCTCTAAACATCAAGTGGTTTCATTTAAATAACTTTTTTAGGTCCAAAAAGTAAAAATAGATATTCAATATTTCACAAAAAAGCAAAGAAATAATAAAAAATACAAATTTGTGTAGCTTTGTTTTTCACCTTTTAATCAATTAATCATCTTACAACCCCTCAGACTGATCTTGTGACTCTTTATTTAAATACTTGTATATATTTATTTGGGCTTTTACTGCCATTAATTGATAGTGACAGCTGAAGAGTGACAGGACATGGGGGGGGAGAGAGAGAGAGAGAGAGAGAGAGAGGATGACACACAGAAAACCCAGAGCTGCCCAGGCGCCGATCTTGTGACTCTTAACAGGCATCATGCTGTTTCCACAGTGATGCATCAGTATTAACAGTCTAATATTGTCACATACGATAATATATCAGTCATATGGGCCATTTTACTGCAGATAAAGGAATTTTTTACACATTTTGCCGATAATGCTTTTTACTTAACTTCCCTTCACTTTGACCAAGGTCACATGAAAGGTTAAAGGTGAACAACCTGGGTGTGTTTCTGCTCCTCCAACATCAGTACCTCGCTGACGTCTCGCCAAATAAAGCAGATTGGAAGACGTCAGGACCGAGTGGAAGGAGGAACTGCAGGGATTTCAGTTGCTGGACTCCTTTCAAACGGCATAATGAAAAAGCTCAGATGAGATGAAACAGATATTATGTCTTTATGTGATTTACAGTGAGGAGCAGAAAACATGGCAACGTGGCCTCTGGATGTCATTTATAATTAATTATAATTCACTGTACGTTACTTCTGTTGATGTCTTTTTTATTTGCAGTGGTGGAAGATTAATTCAGATCCTCAAAAATATTACATTATGCGAAGTAAAAGTATCTTTGGCAAAATGTACTTAAAGGATCAAAAGTTAAAGAAATTATTATTTTAATTCTGTATCTTTTTAACTTTCTAAACTTCTTTGTCTCAGTCCAGTTAATTAATGATTTATGTTTTATCTGTTTCATTGTTAGTATTTATCTTTATTGATGGGGGTCTTTTTATTCTACCTCACTTCTATGATTTTAATTGTCTGATTTTAAACAAATATATGTGTGTATCTCTTTTTAATGTCATCTGTAGTCTGTATGATGGGTGTTTTAGGGTCTATGAGGCGACAGAGAGACGGATGCTTTATATATTTCTATTTACTTTACTCGCAGTATTACTTTAAGGCTGTCATTTATAATGTAAATAACTGTACTTTATGACGATGATGACCGTGGTAATAACTCTTTAATTTGTTTGTTTTGAATAAGGGCGGGGAGTAACATGGCAACACAACAGTTACATCAAATGATATTTGCAGTCATCAGTCATCTGATGAGGCACGGCCTCTGTCAGTCATGAACTCCATATTTAGCCGGTGTGATGAGGAAGATATGCAGTAAGAGTAACTCATCTAATCCACTCAGTCACTGAGCTCTGACACGCTGGGTGTCTTTCATGTGGGCCTTTGTCATACCAACAGTAACAGAGACACAGTGATGGAGGAAGTTCGTGAACATAAAGAGGATTGAAGGAAATATTTAGTTTCGTTACAGCTGCTCAAGATGCTCACACGGCATTAAAGAATAGAATAATAATTACATTACAGTATCTAGAGATAAAATAGTAATGTTTATAACTGTATATACATGTAAAATAAAAATAAAAAAGAAGATACTAAAATATCCAAGTATATACAATATGATACAATATACAGAGATAGAAGTAAGTGTAAGTAAGTGTCATGAAAGATAAAGTAAAATATAGTATTAGTGACAGAATAAGCCAGAAAACATAAATACATGAATTAA